AATTTACTAAAAGCAGAACAGCTGGGGCCAAAGCCATAGCATCTTTTCCTCTCACTTTACAATAGTAGAATCCCATGAGAGGCTGGAAATTTTATTCCATTTCTTTTTTTTCCTTCTCCATTCTGAACTTGTTCAATCCAATTCCTAGGAAAAACTGATTTTGATCACAAAGTCCAATTTATATTTGAGATGTGGCATTGGTCATATAAGAACACATTTTACATTAATACTATAGAAGAAAGAAAAAAACTGGGAATGCACGTTTATATTTAAATTTCATTTTCTATACAAATGACTCATGAAGATGAAGTCAGAAAGTTAGAGATGGTAACAAAGACACAGGGTTCTTCTATCATGCATGATCCCAGCAGCAAAGGCTGATTGAGGTCAGTTGAGCAGCTGCTCATCTCTAGAGGAAAGATGGAAGAATGAAAAGACAGGTAAATAATCCCAGCTGGGCAAAACCTACTTTCTTGTTTACAGGCATAAAAATTGCTTTCCTGTAGCTCTATGATTGTGCTTGCCTGTTTGCTCACCCGGCCGAGGTTAATGTGTCATGATGTGGCTGCTGAAGCATTTCACTTTCTTGTACTATATTTGACCTCAGAGTGCTCAGAAGGAAATCACAAAAACACACTTCTTTCAAAGGCACTGACACTTTGGCTCCTCCTAATAATTATTTAAACTATGGGCTCACAATTTGGAGAAAACATCACAATCAATGGGAGGGTTTTTTTTCCTGTTCAAGATTCAAGCTGAAATTCAAACAAGACTACATAGATTTTCTAAGGTTCCTATGTATTTTTATAAATCATCTGAGGAGCTCTTATTCTGATGAGCACTATCAATTAAGAATCCCTGACACAAAATACAGTAATTATTACTTATGCCATTGAATTTCCTTTCTTTCATAATTTAAATTGAGTTTGGAGGAAGAAATTTGTTTGCAAGTAAAAAAAGAAAATGGTACCTCTCAGTAATGTTACACTGTTGTCACCAGGCAGAAGACTGTCAGCCAATCAGTACACTTCCTTCTTGGTTTCCTTTGTCATGTCTTTCTTGAACAGGCCTTTCTGAAGGTCATAGAAAGTGGCCAACACACTCTAATATCCTAACATTTTTCTAGCAAGCACCAGAAAACCCTAATGTTTGTATGAACATAGATCAACAGTTGAACATTTCCAACTTTACTGCTGTGAAGGAAATGGGAAAATGACATTGTCCCTACCCCACTTTGGACTCAGCCAATGAGATAATGAGTAAGAAAGTTTAAGTGTTCAGAATGAAACAATGATTTAGTCATTCTACTCAGATCTCAACCTCAGTTTATCCCCCAAGGGGTTTTTAAAAATTATACTTCATACTATAAAATTTAAAAACTAAGCCTCAGTTTTTCTCCATAATCCATTTGAATAATGCATCATAACCTCATAAACGACTGTGATAGAAACTCAGTATGAGAGGAGGGAAACAAAATTTCTATGAAGTAGAGCAGTATTATTTGGGAAAAAAGGTTCCCAAAATACTCTCCTTTTGGCTGTTTCCCATGAAAATTACTGACAGGCTTCACTCACTACTATTGTACTGATCCTTTGCATAATCTTAAGGACTCGAGAAAATCTTATAAATTTCAAGGTTAGCAACTTAGTATTTGGGGTTAAGCTACCAGCAACTGTACAGTTAGCACTAAGTATGGTAATATGCCATGAGAAATAAGCAAAACAAATTTTTTAAATTTTCATGTTATCTCTATGCATTTTCATATACGCAATCAATGTCAACCACATATGAATATTACTTATACAGTATAGGTCAAATCAATGCTAAACAGTGGTCCATCCAAATGTTTTACATAGTGAATTTTAAGTAATTCCATTATATGCTAGAATTTAGATTGTGAAATTCGTATTTTTCCTCCAAAATCAAGGAACTTGTGCAGCAGCACCATCACCAAAACATGGGCCTTCAAAATATTTCCATGCACAAAATACTGTGCAGCTGTTAAAGAAAGTCTTTAATGTACTGGACATGGTGGTGCAAGCCTGTAATCCCAGCACTCAGGAGGCTGAATCACGAATATCACGTAGAGTCTGAGGCCAGCATGAGCTACATAGTGAGTTCAAGGCCAGCATGAATTACATAGAGACCCTGTCTCAAAGACAAAACAAAACAACCAAAAAGTCTTTAATTCAAACATTATCCATGGTGTTTTCATAGTAATTCTATCACTTCAAGTTTCAATTATATCAGACATGCTGAATAATTTGGGTCAAAGTCTATACAACAACCATAGAAAGCTATCAATTTAGCCTACTGAAATGTGAATTAATATATACTGAAAATGTAAATTAATCTCTATGTCCAAATTTAAGGTGAATTTTGTCTTTCCAGAATTATTCCTTGGGGGGGAAAAAGGAGTCATCTTTTATTAAGTTCTTACAAAATTCTTTCAGATTTTAAGTTATTCTCTCTTAATTTGATTTGTTATTTTAATGTACTGGTTGGAGAAATCATATAGTTTTAAAACCTCAAAATGCCAATACAGAGTGCTTATGAGGATCCTCTGATGATCAATTTAAGAAAAGAAAAAGACAAAGGAATTAACACAGATTTATTACTTACAAAGATTATTTGTGTGTAGAATATCACAATTTTAACTATTTCCATGATGACTCATTATAATCTATTTATTGTATTTTTGACTGTGTTCTTTGGTTAGGAAAAGAATTTCCAGTGATAGTATCAAACACATGTTCAGAAATTGTGGTATATCAAATAACACTGATGGATGAAAACCAGTTACATAAATCACTGTGACCATGATCACTTATGAAGACAAAAGTGAAAAAGAATCATGTGAAAAATATTGAGACATATTCTGAGTTTCTACTGCAACTGTTTCAGCTTCACTGGACTGATTACCCACACAACTAAAACTGAATATATCAGAGTTGGCTAAAAACTTTTTCAAACTGTTTTGTACACAGGCATAGAGCCAAGGTGGTGAACTTGAGGCACATTTTTTTTTTTTAAAGACAAAAGATGTTAATATATTCAGGTTTAATTGCAAGTGTTGGCACTTTGTAATAAATGTGGGTTTTCAGTTGCAGAATGAGCATTTGTCTCTGAAAGCTTCACCATCCCTGGCAGAGAGGGTGGCTTTAGTGCTTACACTGATAAACTCAGAATAGTCTGAGAGGTAACAGTACCAGGCCATCTGGCTAAAGTTTAAACGTTTTCAATGTGGGAGCCCAGCAAACAGTTCACTGGCTCTTCAGGTATTTCTTTTCTTGAGTGCTTCCTCACTGCAAACCACCTTAGATTTCCCTCTTATCTTCATCTTTGGTGCTGCCAGCATTGCAGACATGTACAGGTAATCTGACCACTTCATTATTTGATGAAAGCTGATGTGTTCCGTTGTGTTCTGGTCACCAATCCTCTGTCCCAAAGACCTAACAATAATGCTTTTTATGTTGAACAAATAGATTGTATGACAAGGGAAACTAAGAAACAAACAAAAAATGAAACTTATCAATTGAGCATTGTAAGTAAAAATTGATTTATCAATTAATGTGCAGTAGCTTAAAAACTCTGAGGTATACTTCTTTTACTGCTGTAACACTAGTGCAAAAAAGCCACATTTGTTGAAAAAACAAATCACAAGAAAATGCCACTTTTTCAGCAGTTGATTAAAATGCCATTGCAATTTATAGAAAATGAGTTTAGAGAAAGCTGTTTGTTCAGTAGTGGTTGCAGGAAAATAATTTTATCATCTCTACTCAGTATCCCAAATCTGTCTAAAACAGACATATACCTATTCATACATATCAATTAATAATTCTACTGTATACTTATGCCCTTTATTCATTTTCACTAAAAGCAGAAAAAATGGAGAATTTTCAGAAATGTCTAAATATTTATAATTTCAAGGTCAAAGAAGTAATTTTTTAAAAATTTCTGTCCAAATATTAGAACTTGCAGAAAGTAACCAAGCAAATTTACACATTAGGATTTCATATTCCTAATGGTATTTCTGTGGTAAGCAGTATTAATTCTAAATGAAATCTGCTGTCAATATTTAATCTGCGACTATGTGCCAGTCACTGTTCCAAGTATGTCTTAATCTTTAAAATGCAATCCAGTCAGTGTTATTGTCCTCCCATCATAGATAACTCTGGTTAAAGTGGTTTACCCAATCTCACAGGGGTAAATGATGGATCAAGAATTTCAACTGGGCAGTGACACCACAGTCTGACCCATAGTGTGATGTGGCCACCTACAGACAGCGAGCCTCTGACATGCTCCCAGGGTTTGTGAACAGCTGAATATGCTTTATTATTCACGTCAGAAGAGGCTTATTGTAACCAGCAAGTCAGCACAAGGTCCTAAGTTTGTATGTTTATTTCTTGCTTGGGCTATTATTCTTGTGCTAGTTATTTCCATCAGGACACATGATCTCAGTATAAATTTAAAAATTTACATTGAATAAACCTTTGTGTTTTCATTATATACTCTTACCATTTGATCCACTTAAACAAACTGATTTATTGGCAATGCTGGGCATCAAATATAGGCCTCACAGAAGTGCCTTCCACTGAGTTACCACTGCGCCTGAATGTCAAGGCTTTAATTTCCCACTTTATCGATAATGAGGTGAGGAGTCAAAGCTGTATTATGTCCAGGATCATATTTAACAGCTGATTTAAGGACTCAAGTTCCATTCTTCTGACTTTTTTACACTTTCAGAAAAATTAATATCAAATTTTACAAATACAAAATCTACCAAGGCTATTAATCTCACATTCTTAATCTATAAAGGAATTAAGTTACAAGCTGATCTCTCTCAAGTCTACTTAAGCTCGAAAATTCTAATTATGAATAACTGACTTTAATAGAAAACTTTTTGTAGATCAGTCTTAGCTATTGTTTTTGCTTGCAGAGAGTATTATTCATATAGCCAACTACTAAAATATATACATACCAAAGATAACATATACTTATTACATTTTCAATTACTTTATTTTAGAAAAACAAAGGTTTACAATTGATGCCCACGGCAGGGTATCATGAATTCAACAAGTGAGTAATACAGACTTTTAAAAACTTTTATACATTAGCCCAAACTATAAAATTATTTTTTGCCCACACCTGGACTCATACATATTTGAAAAAAATATATATTTGTAAAAATAAAAATGGCATACCTACGTCCATCAATCAATAGGCTCAATATTCCTCAGAAGTTTCTTTGAACAATTTCTGAATAACAATTGATTTTTTCCCCGTCCTACCTTCATGTCATTTGAAACAATTATGTAACTAAATTATCTTTTGTAAAACCAAAACCAAAACAGCTCCCAAATCCAAGAAATATCATTAACAATAAAATTCAACAAATAGAAACAATGCAGGTAAATGTGTTAACTACTCATACTGACCATTAGTTCAACCTCTAAACATTTGGCATCTTAATGTTATTTCCAAACCAGATACTAGAAAGCTACATTTGAGAAAGAAAATGAAAAATTTATGTCTAATATGTCTCAAACAAGTTTAAAATAATAGCTAGAAAAATACTGACATATATACAATGAAACGAAAAGTACTGTAAATTATTACAAAGCATAACTGATAAAAACATGTACTTTCTCTGTGAAATATCCTTAAATATTGTCTGAGCACCACATTCAGCAACAGTTAAGATCTAGAATTCTGAGTTTTAGAAACCAGAGAACTTTGCTGCAACTGAAAAAGAGACTGGAACTTGAATTTACTGAAAGATCCCAATATTGATATGTAATCTTAAGCTTCATCACTACCTTAGAATGTCATTCTAAAGTACTAAATTATTAAGTGATCTCTGCTTTTATTTTGAAGTAATTTTCCCTGAAATATAAACTGCATTTGGAGTACAGCTCTGATAGTGCACTGAAGGGAAAAGCATAATAGTGAACAGATTGTAGAAGTGTGTTTGGTGAGCAATCTGACAATGTAAAAAAAAAAACAAAACAGAAAATTCTAAAATAGAAACAATTATAAAGCAAAATTTTAATACAGAAAGAAATAAAATTATTCACTTACAAACCATCTATACATTTTATTTTCCCAAGAAACATATTTTAAAAGTAAAAAGAGAACATGAGGCAAGAGTACAGAATTGTGCAAATGTTAACCAAGAACTAAGGCATTCATTTATTTAGAACAGTATCAAAGAATACAAAGGCTGACTGCTGAGTTTTTTACTGAACGCACTGAGTTTTACTTTTTTTTCCCAATGAAGTCTTATTTATAGGTTATGACTGACAAGACAAAATATGCAGAGTAAAAATTGATAGTGATAAACATGAAGGGAAAAAATCAGTTGCATTTTCTATCTCTTCTCAGCATGTGCCCATTAATCTTTTGATGCCTGGGCTTTTCTTTTACAAAGAAAAATGAAGTCTTAAATGAAGAATCTGTATCTATCCAAGCTTCTTCCTACTGCAAGACAAGCTTGACCACCTGGAACATTAATACCATATTTATCTTCCCAAATCCCTTGTTACTCTTTGTAGAGAAATCTACCTGTTAAATTGACCACATTTACCTTCCAGTTTTCATTTGAGAACATTTCATTCTACTATCCTCAATTTCCCTTCATATTTGTTTCATTATTTAAAGTTAATAATGGGGAGGGTTCAAGCATTAAGAACAGATATAAAGAAAAGAGTACATGGGCATGATAAAATAATTATTAGTAATTTTTTAGCACTTAAGATATAATAGTTTCAGGTTTGTCCTAATTAGTATGGCATCAGAAAGAACCAAAAGCTGCCCTGGGCAACCAAGCCCTAAATAACTTCAGTGTCAGGACCATAAATTATATATTTTTAAAATGACTAAACATTTTTAAATACTCAATAAAAATTCTTTACAATGGGTAACTAAATTACTCAAGGAATAGTTACCCAAATAATAGCTAATCAAATAAAAAATCTACACTTAGCTAATATGAAAACTTAAAAAAAAATGAGCCACAATAAACACATCAAACTGTTCTTCTGATTGGATGTAATGTTTGCCATTTGATGTGCTGATTATATCACTCATCCATCACTCACTATGAGCCCAGACATGCCATGGCATTAGTTAACAGATGTGTGACGATAAATTTCATATGTGTATATACACATATGGTTTGGATTTAAACTACAAAGTTACATACCACAAACAAACATGATATATACTACTTTTCAAAATGTAGATGCTTTCAAGGGAAATTTTAGAAGAAATTTCAATATATAAACCAAAAATGAAACAAAAAGAACTAGGCTGCTTCGGCTAAAGCAAGGTAGGATTAACAGAGACATTTCCTTCCTGCAACGATTGATGAGATGCCTGGCTAAAGAGTATTTCAGAACATGGGTTGAAACCACTGTTCCCAGTACATCCTGGTTATTTACAAAGGTCAATAACAAAACTTCTTCCCCCATTACATAGGCCCATATGAAAATTTTATAGTAATGCAACTGAGTATAAAGTTAAAAAGTAACACTTCCTCTGTTTCAAAAATAACAAAATAAAGTCACTATTCTATATAAAACCACATTACAGTATTTGAACCTCATAATCTTACTGTGATACATAGAAAAAGTGACAACTTTTCCTTAAAGTGCCTAAATTTTAAAGACTTAATTTTTTCCATATAAATATTAGCCAAAATATATGAGAATGGAAAGTGGAAATTGTTTTCCTCTATCAAACATGTATCTTCTACCTGAATGGCCAATTTAAATATTCTGCCTCAAAATATTAACTACGCCACAGAATATTCACAGGGAAACATGCAAATAGAATTAATCTGGCATAATAACATCTATAAGGGAAACTCTGATGGACTGATTTGGTTTCGTTTGTTTCACACAAACCATTAATCTCTTTGCTCCAAACATCTCCACATTTATGGAAAGACTACTTTAATCCATGCAGTTGATACTAGCAAAATACAAATAACATGTTCTCTTCTGTAAAGATTATAATTAAATCTCTCAAATTCAATAAATAGACTCTTCAATAATTTGAAACCCTATCAAATATTTTATACTTGTAAAGTGTCAGTCTGTCTTCTTTTCTAGTACATCCTTGGGCTGTTGCATGGTAGGCAATAGAGATCCTCCCTTGTTTGGCTCCTGTTGCTCTTTGCTCTCTTCTATCTGTTCTTGACCTTCCATTTCACTTTTAGATACTATTTCGTATCGCTCTTCTATGTAACCTCCATCGGTGTCAGCTGTGTAGATTCCATAGCACATGATACTGATGACACCCAATGGCAAACCAAAGAGAAAGCAGCCCATAAGTGGTGAGCTCTTAAATATAGACTGTGGACAGATAATTAAAATTCAGTTACCCTCAAAGTAATTTTGATATAAAAAGCATGCAATATATTTAAAATCACTACAGATTTATTCTTCTTGATATTTAATTTTTTTAGTTCCATCCAGTGTATGTTAATATATGAGCCATAACTACCATGTTGAAAAAGACAGTGTAAGAGCTACAAACTCTGTATCCGTGAGTGCAATTGTGTACATGCACTTGTGTGTATGTGTGTACAGAACCAGCCATTTTCAGCAGAAAAAGAGAAACTCTTTTCTAAAGTCATTTATTTTTCTCACACTAACCACTGACTCTCTTCAGATGGTTATTATGTGCCCAACAGCTTTTGATCATTTGGAAAAGTACAGGAATTCATTCATGGAGAAGACTGGGTTATATATACATATTCTCTTCACAGCATTTAAAAAATGTTTTTATTTGTTGGTAGTAAAGCCCACTAATTTCAATCATTTTTATATGCTATTGTGCCTACAACTTCTGAGATCAATATAAATAAGTTCAAAGGATAAAAAGACATTTTAGCTTCACAAAACAATGGTATAGCCCGAGGTGGAAATTTAGAAATTAGTAAGCAAGAGGTAGAACAAGATATAATATAAGCACTAGCAATTAGTTTCAGGAATTCTAATGCAATACTTAAAAACAATGAAAAACATTTTTTGATGGATAGAGTATTCTGACGTGCATCACTGGAAAAGCAAAGGAGAGAGAGCAAAACTGGTAACTTTAGTAACATTAATTGTGTGGAATACAGAATCAACTGGAGACCTGGCAAGAGGAAGCATGGAAATCAAGTAATAGGGAGAGTAGCAAGTACACATGATTTGTGGTAAGGGCTCAATCCATGTTGTTGGCAACAGGAACACAAACAGCACTGATAAATTAAAGGATTCTTTACATGGGATAAATCAAAGATTATTATTTACTTCTCATCAATTAAGAAAACTAGCTATATTATCATGATTGCTTTCAGCCACAAGAAACAAAAATGCTGATAGGGTAGCTCATGATAAACACTGGAACTTAGGGCTCAGATAAATTTAAGAGTGCCTCTATTGTCAAGGTGTTTGACAGCTGAAGCTGGAAGATTAAGAATAATTGCTCAGAATACAGTTTCAACTCTAAAATTAAAAATTCTGTATGATCCAGCTATCCCTCTCCTAGGTATCTTCCCCAAAAGTTAAAGACATCATACTACAGTGATGCACGTATAACAATGTTTACAGCAGTGCAATTCATAATACCTAAATCCTGAAAGCAGCCTCTGTGTTATATCAAAAGATGACTGGATAAAGAAAAAGTAGTATCTGTACATAATGGAATACTAATCATCTATAAAGAAGGACAAATTGGACACATATGCAGGAAAATGGATACATCTAGAAAATATAATTTTGAGTGAAATAAATCAGACATACAATCATAAATATTGTATAGTATCTCTCATTTGAGTAAGGCAAGTACAAACAAAGATCATAATAAAGGATGGATAGGACACAAGGGGATATATCTCTTGCAAATGGGAAAGGGTTCAAGAGAACATGGGCGAGAGGAGAGAGAGAAGGGAAGGGGAAATAAGTAGAATAAACATAAGCCATGTACAGGAACCTAATAACCTAAATGAACCTAAACATTATATGTCATAAACATAAGCTTAATAATATTAAAAAAAAGGGGAAGGGGATTTACAGGAGATGGGAGAGAAGCAGAAGAGAAGGGAAAGGGGATTAAAAAAGGAATGAAGTTGTATTACGTATATGTGCCCACTCCCCACAATGACTGTAAACTTCATGTACTACAAATATGTACAAAAAAAAGAATATAGTCCCAAGTAAGAATATTCATATCCAAGTCTAAAAGGGCAAAAGGAGAAAAAAGACAATGAAAAACACGTGAAATGGGGCAGGGCAAGGGGAGTAGTAGTGATTATCACAGCAGCAGAAAACAGTATCCTCGGAAGGCACCCAGAGGTGATAGCACCCAAGTCTATACTAACAGACTTAATCTGTAGTTTGTTAGTGAGCCTGAGTAGTAACGGGAAATGAGAATGGCAGAGATATTAAAGTGAAGGGTGGGTGAAGAAAGCTCAGGAAACATATTTAGAAAGTATAAATTATAAAAGGAAAAGCAACAGTATAGTCAGAAGCAAATGTGCCACTATACTATACTTTCCTATAATAACAACTATGAATAAACTCTGAGATGAGCAAATAAGATAAAATATTGTTGGAAAGCGTTTGGCCCATCATATTTTAATTCTACATTTAAAGTTTGCTTTTTAAAGAAAAAAGAGAAGAAGAAGAACAAGAGAGAAAAAAGGGTAGGGAAGAAGGGAAGGAGGAAAGAATAAATCTGTAAATGATCTTATTTATTTACCACAAGGGGAAAGCATAGAATTCACAGGGATGTATAAAGCTGAGATCTAAAATTTTACTTTGACTACTGAAAAACAGAATAATTTCCCAAGATAGATCATTTCCCTAAACAAAAAAGACCAACTCAGTGGTACTAAATTTTTTTTATTCTGTACTTTCATCAAATTACAGAATTAAATAACACTTCATACAGAGAGATTAAAGACATAAAGTTGTTTTTTAAGTCATACTATCAAGTTAAAAGATTCTGATTTCAATAATTCATCAATCATACAGAAATAGAAACAATTTCTACCTGATGAATATGTTTTCTTAAGGAGTGATTAGTTCATATCTTTCAAATTAAAGATCTATTTTGACCTTATCCATTGAAGTCTAGATAATTTGTGGCAAAACTATGACACCCATGTCACTGTGTTCTTTTAAGACAAAAGATGTTAATGTAGAGTTATTTTTTCTAAACTAAGACCTCAGCATTAAAACCCCAGATTTAATCGCAGTGCTGGGATTTTATGGTAAGTAACTGGGTTTTGAATTGCAGTTTGGCACTGAGTCTCTAAAAGGTTCACCATCACTGACCTAGATTTTATCATCATTAAGTTAGAATAAGGAATTCTATACTTTCTTAATTACCAATTACACTAAACAAACTGTCACAACTTACCACAACAGTAGATTTGGCATCAAATACTATTCTTTTCAATCTCTGCAAAATGCTATCACCTCCTTGGGCCTTCAATGTAATAAGAAAAGGAAACTGTTAAGTACTATCACTTCATTTTTCTAGGTTATATAATTTTATTACTGGGGATAAAAAGGTTGACTAAAAAGTATTACATTAATCACCCAAAAAAGCCATGTTCAACATTTACTGTTTTTTCTTCTGTCCCACATTTCTTTGATTTTCCTCTAATGAAGAATTCCTTTTCTCTTACTCATAATACAAGCAGCTTGGAAGAAACTGACCCACCCTGAGTTGAGGCCTGCAGAATTTTTGAGCTTAGCTGGGATTAAGCCATAGCTTCTGCAGGGTATAGGGTACCTTTACTATTGTGTAGTAGGGAGAGTCTACCTGAAGATGAAGGTCAATAAGAAGTGCTGAAAGGCAGAAAGAAAAATTCCCCATGAAAGTCAGTCAAATCAGCTTTCATTTAAAGCCTGAATCCCCAAGCTATAGGGACCAATAGAATGTCTTTGATATTAAAGTTTTGAGTCAAGTTTTAGTAATTAACAAAACAGAAGAGTTCTCAATCACACAGGTGTTTAGTTTGAACCAAAACATTATTTCCAAAAATATAAAATAGGCATTATGTGATTAAGATTATCAAACTTGACTTTGAACGTAGGTAGATGTGCTTGTTACTCTTTCAAATGAAGTTTATATAAATCTGAACCAAGTCTCACAAATCAGTAATACTGTGAGGCTGAGGCAGGGGGATAGTAAGTTTGAGCCTTGTCTAGGCAACTTAGGGAGAGCCTGTCTCAAAATGAAAAAATAAAAGAAAGCTGGAAATGTATGTAGCTCAGTACATTCAGTCCCAAGTACCACACACACACAAAAATAGTTAAACTTTGTGAAAGTCTCTTATTTTCTTTTTAAATTTTATTTTATTTTACTGAATTAACATATGTGCCAGGTTACATAACTTAAATGTGACCTGAAGGGATTGCATGACTCTTATATTGTTGCAACTCAGTTTGAAAAACCCTACTCAAGTTTATAGGGGAAAAAACAGAAAATTAATGGTATCTGTTAACTTACTTCTGATATTTTGTGAGGTGTGACCAAAATATACAGTATTTAAATTACCATTAATGCCCCTGAAAATACTCTCCCCTTCCTTCAAAAACACACATATCCCATCATTTTTGCCACTTTCTGAAGTACTTCTGGAAGTCCTCTTTTGTGAATGCCTTTGTGAGATGTGATCACAAATAGGGTGAATGTTGCTAATATGGCCTGCCTAAGGAAAAGGCAGGCTCATGAAAACATTATACTATATGTTCACCCGACTTATTCACTGGATCTGGCACCATGCGCCTTCTGGCTCTTTCTCAAAGTCAAAATGACCACGACAGGTAAACATTTTCAATCAATTCAGGAGACTGAGGTAGCTAGGACAGCTCAACTAAAGACACTCATAAAAAAGAACTTCCAGAACTGCTTTAGAAGGTGGCAACAGTGAGAAAGTAAATGCAACAAAATGTTCAATGACAATCTAGGTGTTCATGTAGTACTATTTCCATTTTCCTCTGTGTTTAAAATATTTCAAAAAAAAAAATGGAGAAATAAAGAGCCCAGAAATAAATCTCAAAAAAAAAAAAGTGGCAACAAAAAAAATGTGGCAACAAAGTATGATAAGTATGTTCAAAGGAAAGGGGAACATTTTGAGGGAGATTAATGGCAGTGTGTCTTTTACTGTAATCAATTCTTTATTAAAGATAATCACTGTATCTTCTGGTCACACCTCTGGGACTGTTCAGAATTCTCTACCACCGCTCTGATTCTCAATGTATGTCCTTAATCTCTTAAGAAATTGTGTTTGCAGATTTTCTTAGAAAACCAATCCTGATAACTTAATTCAAAGCCTTGTTGGGCCTAGAAATGTATTAAGTGCTAGGAAAGTTCACTATGGAGATCAGCTAAGACAGCGTAAGCCTCTCATCCCTACTCAATTCTAAGTGTAGTACCACCTCCACCATCATTTATCAACCATAAATGCCTTTCAAGAACTCCTTAGCAACTTGTGCCATAGAACCTTCTGTGTGTGGGATAAGGGGACTTCTATGACAGTAAAGAACTAATGGGTGATGGCTGACTACTGCTCTCAGAATCAAGAAGCAACTAGCTTTTCTTTCATTCTCCCTACTATTCTTCTGAAATGGAAATGAAATACTCACTTCTACTGTGCCATCCAAAATGTTATTAATGAATTGGACCATGTCTTTGGCATTGTTAATTTGTCTGTCTAACAAATAATACTGTTGGTTTGAAGTATTCAGTACAACCACAGTGGGAACTGTTAATTCACTGAAAATATAAAAACAAAGAAATCAAAATATACATTACATACAGAGACAGTAAAATTCTGACACTTATTTCATACTGATTTTAAAACTAGTTAAATTAATGATAATATTCTAATATACAGTCAAATAAGATAGCTAAGAAATCATGGAGTTAAACATAGAAATTACAATATAATAAAGTATTAATTTCTTAGGTAATACTATTCCTTGTCACAAATCTTTAAATATCATCACTGTTAATCATATAGAATCCCACTTCATGTAACAGATCAGGAAAGAACATGGTTGCTAGAATCATACTGCTTTAGTTTAAATCTGGGAATTGCTCTCAAGTATTGCAGGATGCTATTAAGCAAGTAATTTAGCTTCTTACACATAACAACTTTTCCTTTATAAAGAGGAGGGCAAAGGTACTTAGTATAAAATCCACATGAGAAAATTCCACCTAAATATCCATTATAGTACTATGTCCAGAGCACAGGTTCAATAAATACTTTAAATTCCCCATACACTACTGTCACACTTTATAGACACTGTAGCCAATGACAGCAAAATATATACAAATTTTCAAGTATGCTTAGAACATTTACCAAATAGATCACATTCTAGGACATTAAAACCCCTTCCAAACTAATCATTTAAATAAAGGGTATCCTCTCACCCTAATTTTACCTCAAACTTTTTACAATATCATCACTCAAATTATAGTAACATTAACAAAGGAAAGTTCATCTATCAGGACACATTCTGAATATCTTGAATTATTCATTGAACCAAAATGGATTTGGCCTCTTGCAAATGGTGTTTTACTGAATCAATATACTGACAGTATTTTATGAAAGACATAATAAATGGCTGCATCAAAGTCCTTATCATATACACTGTAAAACTTCTATTCAGAATGCATTCTAGGGGCCAGAGACTTAGCTCAATGGTTGTGCAGCCTGCCTCACAAGTGCAAGGACCTGAATTGGATCCCCAGTACCAAAAAAGAAAAAAAAGAATGCATTCTAGGGCCAGGGATTTAGCTCAGTGGCAACACACCTGGCCTTGCAAGCACAAGATCCTAAATTCAATCTCCGGTACCCGCCCCCCCCAAAAAAAGAATTCATTCATTACAGAGTCCTTGTTATGAGATTATATAGAATATCTATTTCTCTTAGGCTTATTGTAGGCCAGACACATACCTTATACATATAAACAATGTAATTCCAGGGGCAATGGAGAGGAATTGTGTTAACAATGATTTTCCCACTTCGTTTTGAGTATTAAAAATTTAGTTTGTAATCTCAGCACTCTGGGAGGGTGAGGCAGGAAGATTACAAGTTTGAACCTACCTTGGGCAATTTAGTGACTTAATGAGACCCTATCTCAAAATAAAAAATATAAAACTACTGGGGATGTAACTTAGTACAAAGGTGTTAGGTTCAATCCTTAGTATCAAAGGAAGCGAACAACAAAATAAAGGCTAAATATTTTCAATACTTTTAATAATTATATAGATATTTGATTTGGTTTTTTTCCTTTTTCTTGACCATAATATACTAGAGCTGGTACTCCAAATACTCTAAAATTCTTATTAGAATGAGAGAGGTAATATTACTTTATATCATAAATACAATGAATTTTTCTGAAGTTACATATATTTCTGATGTACGTATTTTTGTCTATTAAAATAAATTCTTCTAAAATAACGAGTTTTTGAAGCCTGAAAATGTTCTATTTAATAGTTATGATTACCACTGAAAAAAGTATCACTGAGCAGAATCTAGAAAATTTGCAAGTTTTTAAATGATGGGCTTTCAGAACACTGTATGTTACCACATTGAATCAGGAAATAATTCTTAATATACAACATTATTAAAATTCAGTAAGCTTCAAATACATCCAAAAGTAAAGTAAAATATTTAGGGAAAAATGTATGCCACAGAATATACCCACTATTTAATGCTTCTGTCCATCTTTCAGAAAAATTGATAAAAGTTGATAGCAAAATAATTCAGGACTTTACTTACTCCATCAGCAAGGTATTTATGTAGTCATTTCCATCCATATGGCCAAACTGAAAATCCCTAACAAATCATGGTAGGGCAAGGGAGGGAAGAGGACAACATTAAGTTTTAAAAAAGGTAAATAATACAACAAACTGAACTTCAGGGCTTGGTAAGTTCATAAGCACTTAACATGTAAATTACATAAAATATATAACAATAGAGAAGAGTGTGAACTCTACTGGCTTTAAGAGATAAAAATACACATGTGCAGTATTAACAAATCCTCAGTTCTACTTCATTTACAAATGTTTATAATGCAGGGAAATAGAAGCTTTTACATTAGAAACATGCTTAAGGACAACTACCCATTTATTAAAAAATAGGATTACTCAAAAAAGGTCACACACTGTATATCATGACAACTGCACACTGACCTTTCCTTAGAAGATTTGCAATAAGATAATAATTAAACAATATAACAAACATATACAACTGTCCTTCCTGACAGCAACTAAAAATGCTTTAGCATACAGCAAAAGTATTTATTTATTTATTTATTTATTTGGTACCGAGGATTGAACTCACGACCTTCCACTTGGGAGGCAGGCGTAGTATCACTGAGCTAAATCCCAGGCTTTCTAATGTTATTTTTATATTTAGTTATTCTTTGAGTTCTCATTACAAACATTTATCTCTGACTTCTGATCCTCATTTAACTTAATCTGAAAATTTCTGAATAAAATTTTTTTATAAAACTTGTCTGGAATCCTATCAAGAAGCAGGAATGAGGAATGATACAAATTATAGATAAAAGTGTATTATTTTTTTCTCTGAACTTCAAGACCCAGATAATTCATGATAGACTGCAAGACACCAACATGTACTTCATTTCCTTGATTCACCTTTCAGAACATGAAATACATACTGAGCATCTCTTATCTGAAATATAAACACCTAATACACATAGTTTGAAGATCACTTCATACAATATTTTAAGTGTGCCTGTGTTTTGACTGGTACCTGCCACATGAGGTCAGCTGTGGAAGCATGTATTCATGTCATGTCAGAGCTCAAAAAGATTTAGATTTAAGAGCATTCTGAATTTCAGATTAAGGATACACAACAAATACTACATTTGCTTTATTATAAAATATAACAACAACAACAAAAATAATCTTCCAGAATGTAAGCACATACTTATGAAAGTGGTCTCTGTAATCTTTAGCCACTTCTTGAATAATTGACTTTAATCTGTAGAATAAACACATAAATACTTAAATTCTTCACTTGAAATAACAGAATTATTTGGTTATGATACATGCTATCTTATCTAAGTGCTGTAGGAAAAGACACCACATCAAGTTTACTTACAGTCGGAGGAGCAGAGCTGCTCTCAGGCCAGAGCAGGTGAACATTCCAGGCTGCCACACCACAGCCCCCAGTGCCAAGGAGCAGAGCTGCCCCCAGCCATACGTGAACCTTCCGAGCGGTCATACCACTGCGTCCAGTGCCAAAGAGGTGAGCTGCAAAGGCACCAGCAGCACACCCCCCCCACCACCACCAATGAAATGAGAAGAAACTTAAACAAGTCTCAAAACCAGACTTTTAGATCTCCAAAAGCAACCCCAATGGGAAAAGAGATGGAAGAATCTGATAGTCAACCACCTGGACTCCCTGAACTGGAAACTTTGAGGATCGAGAAAAAATGAAATCAGAAATAGTGTCTCAGATAACAGCAGAGATTGTGCCCATAGCGCAAGACATGATTAAAAAATCTAGAGAGGACACAGATAAAGAAATACAGGAGCTGAGGAACATGATGGAATCCCAACATGGGAAACAAATGGAATCCATAAAACAGATGCAAACAGATTTCCAGGAGATTAAAAATTCCATGGAAAGTTTACGCAGCAGAATGAGCCAATGTGAGGACAGAATTTCAGATATAGAAGATAAGATTGTAATTAGTGACCAGGAAAAGAAAAATTGCTTGAAAATTGTAAGGGACCATGAGAAATCAACCCAGCAGCTGCTAGACGATGCAAAGAAGAATAATATAAGACTGGAGTCAACGAAGAAACAGGAGAAAGTGCAGATGACACAAAAAAACTCTTCACAGAAGTGATGGCAGAAAGCTTCACAAGCAGGGGAAAAGAACTTGACATACAGATAAGTGAGGCATATGGGACTCTAACTAGCCTTGATCAAAAAAAATCTACACATAGGCATATAATAGTTAAGATTCCAGAAACCCAACAGAAGAACAAAGTTCTACAAGCAGTTAGAAAAAAGAAACACATACAAAGGAAACCCCATCAGAATCACAGGAGACTTCTCAACGCAAACCCTCAAGGCAAGCAGAGCTTGGAGTGACGTATTCCAAGCCCTAAAGGAAATTAGCCTCCAACACAAAATAATGTACTCTGGAAAATGATCTTTCAAAATTGATGGAGAAATAAGACACTTTCACGACAAAGAGCACTGTAGGAACTTCATGAATACCAAACTGGCACTCCAAAAAATTTTACACAACATCCTAGGAAGGGATGATGAGGATTACAATCCCAGGAAGCCCAGCAGAATGAATAAATCAGGCATGACAAGAAATTAAAGACAAAAGGGGAGAATGCAACAAAAAGAGTCATGACAATGATAAGTCAATACCTATTAGTTATAACCATCAATGTTAATGGTCTCAATTCACCAGTCAAAAGAAAGAGACTGTCAGAAGGGGTTAAGAAGCAAGATCCAAACATATGCTGCATACAAGAAACACACTTAATTCAAAAAGAAACTCATAGACTGAAAGGTAAAGGGTAGGAAACAATAATCCATTAACAGGAACCCCCCCAAAACAAGAGTAGCTATTTTCTTTGCAGATCAACTGGATTTCAAACCAGCACTGATTAAGAGAGACAAAGAAGGACACTATATCCTTGTAAAGGGAACAATCCAAGAGGAAGAGATGACAGTCATAAACATATATGTACCAAACACTAGTGCGCCAAACTATAGAAAACAAATAGAACTGGACAAGAAAAATAAAATAAGCACTAACAAAACCATAGTGGGGGACCTTAATATCCCACTGTCACAAACAGATCAACTAGACAAAAAAAAATGAGCAACAAAATACTAGAATTCAATCAAATTCCTGAACAAATGAATTTAACAGATGTTTACAGAGTGTTCCACACCAAAAAATCAGAATATAGTCTTTTAAACTGCACACAGGTCTATCTCCAAAATAGACCACATACTCACTCATAGTACATGTTTATATAAGTGCAAAGGAATCAAAGTTATCCTCTGTATATTATCAGACCATACTGCGAGGAAATTGGAGATCAACAGCAAAAGAAACCGCCAGAATTTCATAAACACATGGAAATTGAACAACACACTTCTGAATAACCAATGGGTCACAGAGGAAATTAAAGAAGAAATCAGACAGTTCCTACAATTAAATGACAATGACAATACAACATAGCAGAATCTATGGGACACAATGAAAGCAGTCTTAAGAGGGAAATTCATAGCAGTGAATACTCATATTAGGAAAACAGAGCAATCCAATTAAACAACCTGATGCTGAACCTCAAGCTTCTAGAAAAAAGAAGAGCAGGACAAACCCAAAGCTCATACAAGGGAGGAAAATATAAAGATCACAGCAGAAATCAATGCAATGGAGACTAAGAGAATGATACAAAAAATCAATAAAGCCAAGAGTTGGTTCTTTGAAAGAATCAACAAAATTGACAAACCCTTAGCCAACTTTATCAGAAAAAAAAAAAAGGCCCAAATCCATGCAATTAGGAATGAAAAGGGTGAAATTACAACAGACCCAGCAGAAATCCAGAGGATCATCAATACCTACTTCCAGAACCTATACTCCAATAAGGTGGAAAACACAGAAGAAATGGACAGATTCCTAGATATGTATGAATTACCAAAGTTGAACAAAGAAGACCTAAAAATTCTAAACAACCCAATATCATCCAATGAAACTGAATAATTCAAAACTTACCAACTAAGAAAAGCTCACGTCCTGATGGCTTCACTGCTGAATTCTCCATGACATTTAGAGGAACTAATGCCACTACTGTTTAAACTCTTCAATGAAATTGAAAGGGAGGCAATACTCCCAAATTCATTCCTGGAAGCAAGCATCACCTTGATCTCCAAAGCAGACAAAGACCAAACCCAGAAAGAGAACTATAGGCCAACCTTACTAATGAACGTAGATGCAAAAATCCTTACTAAGATACTGGCAAATAGAATGCAGAAGATCATCAAGAAGATCATACACCCTGACCAAGTAGAATTCATCCCAGGCATGCAGGGAAGGTTCAAGATATGCAAATCAATCAATGTAATATACTATATCAACAGAGCCAAGGACAAAAACCATATGATCATCTCAGTAGATGCAGAAAAAGTACTTGACTAAATCCAACATGCATTTATGATAAAAAAAAAAACCCTACAGAACATTGGAATAGACAGTCTCTACCTCAATCTGATGAAAGCCATCTATGAAAAGCCAATAGCCAACATCATACTAAATGGTCAAAAACTGAAATCCTTCACACTAAAATCAGGAACAAGACAAGGATGTCCACTATCACCACTCCTGCTCAATCTAGTTTTGGAAAAATTAGCCACAACAATTAGACAAGAGAAAGAAATAAATGGAATAAAGATAGGAAATAAAGAAATCAAATTGTCATTATTTGCAAATGACATGATACTCTATGTAGAAGACCCCAAGAACTCCCACCAAAAGTCTTCTAGACTTAATGACCAAATTTAGTAAAGTAGCTGGATACAAGGTCAACACACAAATATCAACAGGTTTCCTCTATATGAACAACAGACTCACTGAGAGAAATAGGGCAAACAATTCATTTCACAATAACATGCAAAAAACTGATATATCTAGGAATCAACCTAACAAAAGAAATCAAAGACATCTTCTCTGAAAACTATAGCACTCTGAAAAGAGAGATTGAAGACGATATCATAAAATGGAAAGATGTCCCTTGCTCCCGGGTAGGAAGAACCAACACAGTAAAAATGGCCATACTTCCAAAACTGCTATATAGATTCAATGCAATCCCAATTGCAATTCCAGCAGCATACTTCACGGATCTGGAGAAAACAATCCAAAAATTCATTTGGAACAAGAAGAGACCCAGAATAGCAAAAGCAATTCTAGGCAACAGAGACATGGAAGGTGGTATAACAACTCCAAACTTGAAACTATACTACAAAGCTACTGTGATAAAAACAGCATGGTACTGGCAAAGAAATAGGCCTGAGGACCAGTGGAACAGATGAGAAGATGCAGAAACAACTCCAGACATACTCAGCCACCTCATCTTCGACAAAGAAGCCAAAAATCCTCACTAGAGGAAAGATAGCCTCTTTAATAAATGGTGATGGAGAAATTGGGTTTCAACTTGCCAAAGACTAAAACTAGACCTATATTTCTTACCATGCACTACCATAAAATCGAAATGGATTAAAGTTCTAAATATTAAAACAGAAACTCTGAACCGGCTGTAACAGAGGTTAGGTAGAACTCTTGAAGACACCGTGTGTAGGAAAAGATTTTATGAACAAAACCTCAGTTGCCCCTAAACTAGCACAAATAATCAACAAGTGGGATCTCTTCTTATTCAAAGGCTTCTGCACAGCAAGAGAAACCACCAGCAGTGTGAAGAGACAACCCACAATGTAGGAAAAAATTTTCACCTGCTGTTCCTCAGACAAAGGTCTACTATCTCGAATCTATAAAGAACTTAAAAAAATTAGACCTCCCAAATTTATAGACCCAATCCAAAAATGGGCAACTGAAATAAACAGACATTTCTCAGGCAAAGAAGTGGAAATAGTAAATAAACATATGAAAAAATGTTCAACTTCACTGGTCATTTGAGAGATCCAAATGACAAGGCTGATATTCTACCTCACCCCAGAAAGAATGGCTGCCATCATGAAATCAACAAATAAGAAATGATGGCGGGGATGTGGGGAAAGAGGAACCCTATTCCACTGGTGTTGGGAGTGTAGACTGGTGCAACCACTGTGGAAATCAGTATGGAGATACCTCAAAGAAGTAGGAATGGAAATCTCACTTGACCCAGCTATTCCCCTGGTGAGTGTCTTCCCCAAGGCATTAAAAGAATCATGCCACAGTGATATATGTGCACTCATGTTCATAGCAGCACAATTTGTAATAGCTAAAACTTGGAAACAATCCCCATCAACTGGAGACTGAATAAAGAAAATGTAGGGTTTTTTTTGTAAAATGGAGTATTACTCAGCCATAAAGAATGAGAAACTAGAGACATTTATAGCTAAATGGATGCACTTTGAGGTGATACTCTTAATTAAATAGGACAAATGTGTAAATACCAAATAGTGTCTCTAGTGTGAGAAACTGAAAGCATAAATAAGGACTAAAAGGTATTAATAGATAATGTGAAATAGGAAGAAAATGTGCAAAAGGGAAGAGTAAATGGAAGGGGTAGGGGAAAACAAAGAAGGGAATGGAATTAATAGCAGAAAAAGAAAAAAATGGAAACAAAGTCTTTGTAGATAAGGAGGGTTGGAAGTGTTGAAGGGTGAGTAGGGGAATCGGGAAAAAATAAGAACCAAGATGGATTATGTACAGGTGCAAATTTCCAATGATGAATGTCATTATACTGTATACCTAAAATGTACCAATAAAATTTTTAAAAAAGTTTATTTAGTCACGTAAAGTCTGAATTGAACAATATTTAACTTTAAAACTATTTCAAGGGAACTATACCTGGTATGTTCAATGGATGTATTTTTCTCATCAATAACTGCGATAGCCACAAGCTTTCCTGAAATTAAGAATGACATCTAAATTCAATAACCTCATTATATAAACTTTTCTACTACCAGTTTTGTTGTGAACCAGGAAAAATTTTAAGTTTCTGGAATTTATTGCCAGTTATCCTACTCATTTCTACTTATTTAAATGAAGACATTATACTATACATTTGTAGAGTGAATCAGTGAATTAGTCATGCGCAAGTGATAATTCCTCCCATCTTCCACCCCAATACACAAATAAAAGTAAATTATAACAATTTTTTATTTTCAAACAACTCACAAATTCACTTAGATAAGTACTTTGTTAAAATTAAAACCACAACTAGTAAGAATTAAAACTCACACCTCCTTTACCCTAAATAGAACACAAATCATGCACTTCTGAAATGCTGTTGGGAAGTAGCATAATGGAACAAGCAAAATAGTTATGTGGGGTCAGAAAGCCAGATGATGCATGTTATATTCTAGGAACTGAACCCAACCCTTGGAGAACAGTGAAGCACCATCATTTATTAGCTATGTAACTTAACCTCAGTAAACTCCAATTTATTTTACGAAATGAATAACTATTTCATAGAGTTATGAGGACAGCTAAATGAGATTATATGAACAATAATATGGGATACCTGGCTCAGAATAGGTACAAAAATGTAGGATTAAATTAACTATCTTTCACCAGCATCCCCACATTGTAATGGTGCTTCCTCAAATTCTATCCTGCTTATTAATACATCTCTAAATTCTGCACAATCCTGACTCTACTTTTAATCCTCTGGTGAAAACAACAAGTTTGCAATGATTATTTTCCCTCCTAAAATATTTCATACACTATTCAGTTTAGTTTTTATTATGTGCTTATTCAATTTTCAAGTGACTCGTGAGTTGTTCTTGTTTTTTTCCAGAATAACAACACATAGAGCATCTTCCCAGGGGTTACAGGATTTCAAGAAACACAGGCACAGTTTTTACATACCAATTTAACAATTACTGAGTGCCAAATAATATGGCACACACTGGGCCAGTTACAGAGACAAAGTCATGAGTAAATGTAGATCCAGCTCTTCACTTGGGAATGCAGTCTAATTTGTACCACATACGAGTTAAGTTAAAACTAAGAAGAGTTCTGAAAGATACATGGAAAAAGGGATTTAGAGGAGGGAAGGGAGAAGGGAGGGAAGAGGAAAGGAATTTAAAAAATAAGCTGTATTATGTACATGCACCTACTCCCCAAGATTGGAAACTGCATGTACTGTAAACATGTACTAATAAAAAATGAAAAAGAAAGGAATATGTTGCTATAAAAGAGTAAGTAGAGTAAGTTAATGTAGTTTGAAGGTGTTGGTGAAGATTTGCCTAAGGAATCATTATTTGGTCTGAGTTTAACAGATGAAAATAAATTTAAAACATCTTCTAAGCAAAACTAAAATATACAAAGGTGCTTTAGTACAAGTGGTACAGCCATTTTAAACAACTTGATGGTCAGTGTGGCTGGAAAAGGGAGAATGTAGGGGAGAGATCAGAGAGAAATGAGGATGGATACTTAAGCAGCAGTCACAGCACACAAGGATCTATACTCACAAAGCTGCTGATAAGTTACTACGTGTGAAGCCACAGAGAGCTGGAAGAACACTGTGATACTTGCTTAAGGGCACAGGTTTGCAATAAGCAGGGGCACAGCCACGGGTACTACCAGCAATTATGTCAGACACCAAAGGAATACTGCAACAGTAAATTTCTGATATCAAATTAATCTGGGAAAAGAAACTGAGTGTTGCCTAAGATGACTAGTTCAATTATGTTGATGCTACGCCATCTCCTATGGTTATGTATTAAAGAAAAAACTTGTATGTTCTTACATTTTTCTTTCTTTCCTTAAATAATCAGAAAATAATTCCATAATCATTGACAGTACCATGGCAACTTCCACTAGAGAACAACAACTCAGCTCATCAGACATAGAATGCCAAAAGCAGGCTCAGGAACCAGAACAAATGCAAGCCGAAGATAGAATTCTTAGTAATAGGAAAACATGTAGGAACATTTCTAATCTGCATATGCTACAAGTTTTGAAAGCAGAGAATTATGAAGAGGAAACCCTATGTTCATTAATTGTCATAAAACTCTAGAGTTTGTAGTTTTCCTTCCTCTACTCTAAAACTATACATCCATTCTACTTATAACATTGTAAAGGGAAATAAACATGGCAATAATAATCAGGATTTTGCTCTATATTTATAAAACTTCCTCCTAAAACTTAGCTTATATAACAGTGATGGCAAACCTTTCAGAGACTGCCTAAACTGCAGCCTCAAACTCATTTATCTGAAAGACCAATACTGTAATTAAACTTGAATTCTGAAGTTTTAATTTAGAGAAAACAACTGTTATCTGATGCTCAGCTGTTGCTGCCTGAGGACAGAGAGGCTATTCATGCCTGCTGCAGCATAAGTTCACCCCCACTGATATAACTTTTGCTATCTGCATGAATGAAACCATGTAATTGACTTCTTATACCTTCTACTTTTACATTCATATTCATATCCACATTTTTAATCATGTAACTTTAAGAAACTACCAATCGATTCAATTCACCCCCCAAGGAAAAACAGGCCTTAGGTTGTGAGAAGCTGAATAATTTCAATTCCTATTACAAAATCAGCCACCAGCGTATAGTTTCTTGGTGGACAATTTTTTCTCATTTATTATCGAGGTGCCTTGCCTTCCTTCTCATCATCAGTTCTATTTGTAAATTCTCTCTTCAGCTAAGCTTTGACCCATATACAGGGATATATTTTTTTGGTAATAATATTCTCTATTCTTATAAAGAACAACTAGAATTCAGGTCTCCTTTAATAATGAAATAAAAGCTTAAGATCCATTTCCTACAGAAACAGATTTAAGTAATCAAAGGAAAATTCTGTAAAGTATTGGGTGTTGTACATAGGCTCGTTACCTGTGTCTCCAAGTTCATATAAGAGGAAGCCATCCATAGTAAGATAATTCTGAAACCTTTCCCTACTGATCCATGATGACAGATCGCCATCTTCATACTCTTAAAAACAAAACAAAGTGAATAAATTAGGACTGTAAAATGATTATCAGATTTATCATATCAGATGAAAGATATGACTTTAAGAGGGTTATATTTTAACATGACAATATATATAAAATACCTAATACAGGGTAATAATCTTAAATCCTCAAAATAAAACATTTTAATTTTAAAGTTTATTTTAATTAAGGGCATTATTGTGGGTTACCATCACACTTTTCTAATGAAATTATGTACTTTAGCATAATGATAGCTGGCTATGTGCCTCAGTAGCTGCACCTGAGGGATACAGAAAGTAATCCTTGTGTTTACCTACTTGGTATGACAAAGAGCAAGATGTGTACACCTGTGCAAGTGTCAAATCGAAATTTTTACCCACATAATGCTCTGTGCATTGCGTATCTATCCCTGAGCTTCACGGCAGGTAAAATACACCCCTATCATTCTTCTGTTCTGCAAACATCTAATTTGCCATAATGGAATCCAAGAGTGGCTCACAAGTGTGCCTGGGGACAGCAGGAACCTATCTGAGCATACATCCACTTGGCAGACAAACAGCAAGGTGTGTACAGGAGATCCAAAGCAGTAACAGGTAAGTTTTATCCATGAAATGGTCATTGTTGAATTTCTTGCATTTAGGATTTATTTTTTTAAAGTTTTCTTTTGATTTTTCTGGTAAAAGTAGCCCAATTCAGTACAATGGCATATGAAAACCCTGGTTGCTGAAGCTTTAGGCAGTATATGCCAAAAAACCCTTCAAAATACTTTTTTGTTTTGGTACCAGGGATCAAACTCAGGACTCTGCGCTTGTGAGGCAGCCAGTGGAACCACTGAGTTAAATCCCCGGCCCCAAAGACATATACTTTCAAGTGAGAAATTTATCCTCAAATTCAGCCACAGGTCTTTATTAGTATAGCAATGAATCAAATGATGTCGTGAAGAGACTTGTTGCTCCCATCTCCTAAACTAATCAGAATGTGACATTCGACAATTGGTTTGCCAGTTTCCAATTAATGTTATATTTGCAAACACACCATAAGTTGACCAGGTAGGAACTACACGCAAGAACGAAGCAGAAATTCCAAATGAAATGTCACCAATGAAATTTCAAAACAGAGAACTGTATAGTACAATCATTGGATTTCAGAAAGATATAACACTGGCCTCGTAAACGACACACACAAAAAAACCAAACAGGTACTGCTGATGGCAACACTGCACCATGATGGAAAAATTGACAGAGAAATCTTGACAAAACTGAAGGCTGAGATGGTAACTTTTGCAACAAAACCAAAAGTGGAATAGATGTTGTTGATGAGTTATGCAAAAACTATGATGTTATTTGAAACAAAGCATTGGCCAATGATTGTGTTTTACTCAATCCTTAACATGTGTGGCATGAAATGTTTGATAGTTTACACAGAAAATTACAAGTACAAAACACCATGGAAAATTTTTCTTAGGGGATTGGGAATGGAACTCATAAGAGATCATTCACAACAGAGGAAAAACAAAATGTTTTTGGCCAGAGAACTATGCTAAAAAAATGTGGGTCACATTGGTGAGCTCACAGGTGAATAGGTGCAACATCACAAAGACCTACTGCGATAGGAAAACTAAAAAGTTGTCAGTTGTGCCCTACAAAAAAAGACAGGAAAAAAGAACATATGTGCTATAAGTGTGGATGATACTTGTGCATGGAACATGCAGTTTTCATGTGTGAAGACTGCCTTGGGTGTGACAGTTGAAGTAAAGATTATTTCTGTGGTGGACTTTTATTTGTATTTACATTGTAGATCACGTAGGTATTCATTTCTGGTGTTATCTTTTAGCTTCTGTAACCAAGTACACAGTCAATGTGAAAATGGTGATGTTTATTTGAAACACACAATAAGTATTAAGAATTTAATATTTTATTTTTATGGATATTTTATGTTCCTATTAACTACATATTGTGTAATATCATAAGAGCCTCCTGACAAAACAGCAAGACCAGTGAGATGTTAAGTATGTTCTACATAAAAGACAAGAAAGCAAAGGACATGTGCTATCAGTGTAAATCATAAGTGTGTATGGAATGTGCTGCTGACTTGTGCCTTAGGCGTGATAACTGAAGTAAAGACTTTTTTTGTTATACAGTTCTATTAGTACTTTCATTGTAGTTCATGTAGGAATTTATTTGTTGTTATTTTTTAGACTTTGCAAACCCCAAAACAGCCAATGTTGAAAATTAAGATGCTTTTTCATAAACAGTATTAAAAATTTAATACTTTTTGATTTTTTCTGTTTATTTTTTATTTTATTTTTTGATTTTTTTCCTGTTAAGTACTTATTATTTAATATAATAAGACTCATAAAATTAAAATTAATAATTCAACAGAAATACTTCTAAAGAATAGACGAGTTTTGTACACCCTTTAGTATGCTCCTTCAACACAAAATTGCCATGATGTCCCAATAAAGCAAATAAACAGATATACGTAAGAATTACTGTGTAAAGCAAATCTTCACTATAACATCATTAAAAATAGCAAAAAACAATTTGAAAGAAAATAACTGAAATGTGCTAAGTAAGAAAAAGCAGATTTTGGCACAAGTTCAGAAAGATGATTTACAAATTTTTAAAAAATTGTTAGAAATAATTAAATTGTAATACAATCAATATTATAATATGACTATAACTTTGTGAAAATTAGTATGAAAAGGTAGTGACAAAATAATGAAATAATAGCTAATCGTAAAATAACAGCTAAACCAGATTGATGGTTTTACCTGGATAATGGTACTATGGGTAATATTTATTACAATATCTTTACTTTTCTCTACCTTATGACACTTTTTTCTTAGTTTATGTTCTGCTTTAAATCTACATGTATCCCCAAAGCCTCATGCACTCATAGGTAGGGCTCTGGAAGGTGACTGGATCGTGGGGCCATGACACTTATCAATGGATTGGCCCACTGATGAGTTTATAGCTAACTGTGATTTGGGAGGCGAAACTGGTTAGAGGAGTTGGGTCGCTGGGGTGTGGCTTGGAAGGGGCTACATCCCTTCTTCCTCTTTTGATAGCTCTCTGGTTCATATGTGACATGCCACCTCAACCTGGAACTCCTCCATCAAGTCCCTTTGTCATGCTGCCCTACCTTGGAGTCAGCCAGCTACAGACTGAAACTTGCACAAACTGTGAGCCAAAATAAAACCCTTCCTTTAACTTGTAGGTTGTCGGGTATTTGTCCAGAAATGAGAAAATAACTAAGACAGTTTATAACTTTTTCTCCTATGTACAACTTAATCACACATATAAAGCCATAGTACATTAGCTTTTTTCAAAATCAAACATTTCCTCTGCTAATCACACAGAAAATGCAGTATTTAAAAGAAGTATCTTGATTAGAAATATAATGCTAAAATAATTTTTAAAAATTAACAGGTTCCATGAAAAGAAGCCAATGGAAAGTGAATGTCTTTAAAGACTAGAGATATGTCTGGTTGAAGACTGGATCGCATTGACCTCTTCATTTCTTATTAGTACGTGTTTACAGTATACAGTGATTCCAGTCATTCTGGGGAATTGGTACATACACTGAACAAATCCTGATTTTTCAAAAGACATGATTTTTCTGTCACTTGTAATGCTAAACAAAACATTTTCAAGTTATCAAGCCTATAAAATCAGTAATGTAATGCAAAGCAAATCTAAAAGTATTTATGCGTTTTGACTTTCCAATTAGAAAAATAAACATAAAACTAGACTAAATTGATTTCTGGGCTACAATATTCACAACATGTCAAAACCAAATTCTCTAAAGATTACACCAAGTGACAAACTTGAAACTCAGTAGAAAATATACTATCTCTACCATCCTGTGCTTTTAGCCAATTGTGCTTCCAAAATTATTAACAATTTAAGTGTTAAAATAAACATTCAAGGTAAAGCCTCTAGTATATGAAAATGCCAATCAGCCTCTAAATACTGTCTACTGCATGTTAGAAAAGCTGGTCCTTAAAATAACTAAAGAATCTTACATTTTACTCCTGTCTCAAGCACTAGAAACCACACTTGAAACATGGAGATGAGGGGGAACTTTCAAGGCAGGATCAAAGAAAGCACTTAAATCTAAATGGATGTGTTTAGGTTTTTCTCAAAAAAAAACAAAACAAAGTGGCTCTCTTCAGTTGTTAAACTCATAATAAGGTGGGAGTATAACTTGAAAACAAGGTCTTCATTCCTTTTTTTTTTTTCATAAAACAGTAAGAATCCAGATCTAAAAGGATCATTTCAATGATTGATAATATATACTAAATGCTTATCATATAAGGAATATGGTAATTAAAGAGCAGCAGGATAGAATAGATGGATTATTTTCCTTACTTTTATACACACAAATACTTCTAAGATCTTGAGATCAATGTCTAATATAGATATTCAACAATCAGTGAATGAACACCGAAATGAACAAATGAGTAAGCCCGATATTTTATTATTCATGACTCCTTATCTAACATTTTCAGTTATCTCCTTTACAGCATTTATCTATCTGCCTTATTATTTCTCACCCAGATTACTGTGAGAAAAAAATGACAATGTGAAGTATACAGTACACCCACTATATAATGAGTATAAAATGTAGTTAACTAATCCATAGCATGAAATTAACTTCAGTTCAAATATTTAAACATAAAGATTGGAAATGCTTAAGTTTTACAACTGTCAAAATAAATAAAACGCTCCTTCTACTAAAATAAAACAATCAAAATACTAAATCAAAGCAATCAAATGTTCTTTTGTTCATTTGATTTAAGTAATTCAAAATAAATGGCTCTCAACTAGTTCCTGTTTCCTTTCTATTATATGGAATTCAAGGAGAAAAAGAACTGTACTCTAGGATATTCCTGAAGTGAATGGAATGTTCCTCATCTACACTCTCCAAAGTATTAACAATAAGCCTTATCACTGGCTAGTAAGAATGAGAAGTTGAATTTTTCACTAACTTGTAACTTCAAATGTTACTAAGACACTCTCACCTTTGAGTGGCTGTGTGGTTTCCAAGAGATGTCAAGTTTCACTGTTTCCTCTGAAACTTAAAGTATCTGCTGGTGTCCCTGTAACTTTTCTGTACTGCCCTGGGGTACATTTTGGGAACCAGAAGAGTAGGTATTTGAAGATGTTAGGGAGTTGTTAATTACCTTAGGTGTTAAAGTAGGTCACAGTTATCTAAAAAGTAAAGTCCATCCTTTTGAAGAGTTCTAAAACACATACTAGTAGTGGTGAAATTCTATGGGATTTGCTTTAAAATATTTCAAAAAAGTGCAGAAGAAAATATGGTTAAGATCTTAGTTACTCCTTAATCTTTGTGATAAGACATATAGGCTTTTATTATGTTATTCCCTTTATGATATACATTTGTTATCAAAATAAAAATTTTAAAAAGGTCAAGTACTTGTTTCAATGAACTAACTGGTTGTGACAGGGATAAAGAGATGCAACCAGAGGCCTGGGATTTAGCTCAGTGGTTTCGCCACCTGCTGCGCAAGCATAAGGATCTGAGTTCGATCTCCGGTAGCAAAAACAAAAGAGAGAGATGCAACCAGAGAAAGGTACATGGACCTCACACTACTGAAGGTGTTTTTTTCATCATCTTGGGTGTGTGAAATGTCAATTTGTTAAAAAATTAATTCTGAATATTTTAAGACAATGTATAAATCACATACAGATTACATCTCAAAAAGGCAAATATTTGGACCAAAAACCCAAACCTTATTATAAGCAAAACTCAGAATAAAAGTATACTAGATGGAAAAACTAAAATTGAAAGGTCAAAATAAAATCTCAGTCATTGAAGTGAAGAGAAATATAAGCAGTAGTAGACAAGCAGTAGTAGCACTTACTAAATCTTTTATCAACTCCTTCTATAATAGATAGATATTAATTTTAAAATGTTTTATAGGAATTAAAACTGTGGAACTTACCATCATAAACAAAGTAAGTTTCATCTTTGAAAACAAGCACAGCAGGCATCTCTTTAAGTGTCACATACTGCAAAACATCAACAGTTTAAATTTTAATTGGTAGCTATGATTTTAAAAGTATTGAAAGATATCCAAACACACCCTAACAATAACAAAAGAAAAAAAGCTTACTAATAGTTAAAAAGAGTACAGAAAATCCTAAAGATTGGATCTAAATGCCTTTATATACCCCTATGAACAACGTCCTATTTGCCATGGCAAAAACCAGGGATTATTTTTAGAGCTGCTAACAGACTCAAAGATAACATTATGGGAAGTAAAAGATGAAGGCACTCTGGAGGGAGAACATCAAAGCTAATGTGTCAATTGGCATTCCTAGGGCTGACCCTTCCTACGCCTCACTAGCTGTGTGATAGAGTCAAACACTTTACCTAAGGGAGTATGCTTCCTCCTCTGTGAAATGAGGATGCTGAGCCCACTTAACTCAGAGGGCAGCTGTGTTATTTTATATAAGGGAGAGCACTGTTTAAATTATAAACTGCTTTTTAAACAACAATGGTCGTTAGTAGTAAGGGATTTATTCAGAAAGCACCTGTTTCTTATAGCCATGTTATACTTAATTCAAAAGAGTAAGATTATAATTAGTATCGTATCAGAAGACAAACCACTTGGCCTTGGGTAAGCCACTAAAAATTATTACATGGGTACGGGAATAATGAAAATAACAAATAAAGGGAAGCAGGCACATCTCAGGACATAGAAGAATATACAAAGTTATTTCATTATATTACTACTAAACAATGATGTATCACCATGAAAAGAACCGTGGCAGTCAGAAAGCCCTTAGTAAGGCTCTATGATCAAGCATGCCTCTATTTACCGGCTCTTGTCAACTCATCCACAATGATGCCTGGGAAATATTTTTCAATGTTCAGTATGTCTCTCAAAAATATCCTAGATATTTTTCATAGTCTTTCATAGAATACCATTAAAAGTCTGAAAACGTGGAGACACATAGCTCTACAACATTCACAATCTTTCCTTTTCTTGCTTCTCTCTTGTGTTCCTTTAAACTATCTTAGATTTGTCTATATATCATTCTTCTCCAGTCATCTTTTAAGTATTCTGAAGCCAGAAAGTGTCCTGATTCACCCTTACACCCTCTTACTAAACCTACTGGAGTTTCCACAAACAAAGTCGTAAAGCTAATGGACCTGTGATGTCTTAAATTAAGACAGTGTCAGCACTACAACCTGGGCAAACTTCAGATGTACTTCAAGTAAAACTGCTTGCAAGGCTTTGCAGATGAGGGTTGGTCCAACATAAAGTCTCATTTCTAATATTAAAATGCAGTACAATGGATATGGGAAGATACAGTACTAGAAGTTCTAGATGTAGTCCACTTTAAGGATTACTTATATGTTGGCATTTCCTAACAGAGGTCTATAACCTTTTAGGGCACCTGCTCGACAATGTGATAGCAAGCAAGGCCCTACTTCCAGTTCATCTTTCCCTCCCTGCCAAAAGTAAATACACAAACTTAAGATATTGTGCAAAATAACTTCTATTAGACCAAACCAAGTAAGCCAAAATGGATTTAGGTTGAACAAAAATTGTCCAAAGCTTCTAAAGGAGTTTAAAATCATTTCAGAATATAATTTATATAAAAATATCTACATGCATATAGTCTAAGTATGTCTATATAACATATTTAAACATTAAAAACTTAAGAATCACATGTATAATAGGACTTACATTTGTGAAAAAATTTTTCCATTTTTATAACTCATACAGATTAGGAATTAAAAAAAAAAAAAAGAAAGAAAAGCTCCCTTGATTCCCGTTGAGTTACTGTCACATTTCTCAGGTCCCCTTTCTAAAGAGAAGTCTACATTGTGGTCTCTACTTTCTCTTTCCTGCCACTTCTGTTTTTCAGGTGACATCTTCAAGTACTGGTCCTCATTTCCATCTCAAAACCACCAGCAACCTCCATGTGGACAAACATCACAATTACTTTTGTCTTTCTCACTTTGAGTACTTCATAAACATATGATACAATTGCCTATATCTTTTTTTATATTTTATTTTTTCCCATTTCTTTTAAAATACTTTTGGCTTTCCACTCATCTTGTTTTCTTACTCATTATTTCTTCTCATTATTCTTTGCTGTCTTCAAGTTCTGGGCCCTCTTTATTTTCTTAAAAAGTTGCAACCCATGTTTAAGTTTATTCAAGAAGCCTTGATCTCACTGTAGACTACTACATCCAACACTTATTTGAAGCATTCAATTAGTTGCCTAGTAAGCCATGCCACAGCAAAGTGAACAAGCCAAACTTCTGATCCTCCCTTTCTTTGCAATTAGTTCCTTCTACAATATTCCCCGTGCTTATTAGTAACACCACCAAACCCCCAAATGTTCAACCATAAAGAGGTCATTCTCAGTTCATCCCTTTTCCTTCACCTTCAACTATCAAAATTTGACAATACTATCTTTTAAAACACAACAATCTTTTAGCTTCTCCTCAATTCTCTTATTAATTGCCAAACTCAAACTCCCAAATTATTGCAAAAGTTAACTGATCTCTCTTTGACTGCACTAGTCACATCAGGTTACTGTTCTGCTTCTCAAATATTCCAAGTGTTTTCTCATCTTGGGCATTTGTATTTCTGTTTCCTGTTTCTGATATGTCTCTGCCTGGCTATTTCTTGTCATGTAAATCCCAGTTCATCTATTTACTTGTCATAAAGGCATTTCTTAATCAATCAATCTACACCAGTTTTCCCACCTGTATGTCCCAATTATCAGGACACCTCTTTTATTTTTTTCCTTCATAGCACATATGAGATCCTGTTTAAAAGATTTGCCCAGAATGCCTACATCTCAATCTGAGGTCCCAACAGAAGACTTTACCTGCAACACATACAACCATGTACACACACATACACATATGTCCATCCACTATTTATAAATAACTTAAGGGTCTGAGGTATCATTATCACCAGTGCTATGGTTTTAAAGGTAAAATATCACTAATGTCACAATCATAATCTTTCAATACCATAAATCTGGTGATATTTGCTTATTTATAACCAGTGTGATACCAGTAGTAGTCAGTTCACATGTTACTCTTCTGGTGCCACAAAAAATAAATCTGATAGAAAAATATCAAGTAATAGTTTTAAAAAATATAATCATGTATTAAAATCCAGTATTACCTCAGGAATGACTTCTTCTAAGGCAGAAAAGAAGTATGTATATACAATCAATTCTGAAGCAGCATCTATGTATTTCTCCTATGATGATACAAAAAAAGATCATTTAAAAATATTAAATACCAAAATTTATTCATTAAACAGATCTACAGTATGGGGTAATCAATAGCATTATAATTTATTACCTACCATGTGCCCTTTTTGGTAAAAAGATAAAAAGTAAACAAACCAAATAATTTTTTTTTCTGAGGCAAAAGACCATTGCAACTAATTTTTATTCTACTCTAAGTTCACTAAACAAGGTAGTTTCATATTTATTAATTTAAAGTTGCATTAACAATGATGAATATGAATGATGATTACAGGGAAGATAAGTGTGCATACATGTGTCCGTATACAATAAATTTAAGTCAAAGGTCTTCTGCTTTTAAAAAGTTCACACACACACACACACACTCACACACACACACACACAAAGTTAAGAAAAAAGGGCCAGGGTAGCTCTGTGACACAGCGCCTTCCTGGCAAGTGTGAGGCCCTGTGTTCCACTCCCATATACCCCCTCCCCAAAAGTTGACATTCACACTGCAGCTTGCAGCCCTAAAGACTTAAAATGATAAAAAAGCAATACAGAATTTAAGTCAGTAATAGGAGAATTACTAAATATCTACACACTTTTTTACTGACCCGTTTCATATCAGCAAATACGAGTGTATACACTAAAATGGTTTATTAAAAATACTCAAATATTTATAACAAAAAATATTTTGAGCAAACTGAAATATTTCCAGGTAAGAGTGTAAGTTTTGAAGTTTTAGTAAAGTTTTGGCTATTCAGAAAATTAAATTATGATAATGTCTGTTTCTGTGCATTAAAAAATTATTTCATACTTTCAATGGTGATTCTCCACCTATGTAAACAAAAAATACACGATGTCTCTTCTGTACATGTTCAAACATTTGCTGGCTTGGAAGTGGCCGAATTAAAGCCCTGTTTGAGAAGAAAATAAACATACATGAACTAAGGATAATACAAAATTTACTTTCACTTATGTAGTTGCCAATCATGTCTAAAGTTAAGTTTTAGTAATGTATTAACTGCATCTTAAATGTATCACCAAATCCACATAAACCTAATAAAACTCCAACCCATAACTTTTATACCACATATTAACAATTTATGTAATACCCACAATTTAATCTATCAGTTACCAAATAAATGAGTTCTAAATGCATCCCTGTAGGGAGGATCATCATTGCCAATATTTTGACAGATAAAAACAGAACTATCATCCACTTACAGTCCTTGGCCAAAAAAATAAATCACATGAGAATTATTTTTCCCCTTTCAAAAGAACATTCACACAAAAACACTGTGACATGCTATCCCAGGAGTATACAGTACTTAAGAACATTTTTATAATATATCGTCAATTTGAATGTTTTGTAGTTTTAAAGTATCCTATGGAGGTTAAAACAAGTTTCAAAATATGTCATTAATTATTCTGGGGAAAAATAAAATGAAAACATCAGCATGATAATGCACAAGAATCTCAAAAAGAGAAAACAACACTACAAAGAGTTTCATTACACAAACATTTGAAGACTCAAATTTTATCAACGTATCACTTGTAAAATATCATTTAGGAAACTAAAAGAGGCGGCTGTCTTAAATATGGTATATATTATCAAATTTCCCCTCCAAAAAATCTGCATAAGAACAAGACATGTTTTGCAAAGGAAAACATATTCCAGTGCTCCAATTCTCAGGATGCATTGCATCACTCTCTACTCTTCTCTATTTTAATACTTAGTAATTAACCAGTAAGTGATGCAACTCGAGAACTGGCTCTTGAAATTTCATTTGTAACAGTGTCACCTCTAATTACATCAGTAGAATCCCTAAGCTTGAACTAAAATTCATTAAAAACTATCAAAACATAAAGACTAATATCAACCATGGGGACTAAAGTACTTCCTGCTAGCCCTTTCCTCATATGCTTATTCACAAAGCAAATAAAGAAAATGAAATGTGCTAATAGTGAGAAAAAAAGTGAACATTATGTTAGCAACAATCAGAAACTTTATAAGTATCGATCCTAATTCTGTGAATTTTCTCAATCTGAGACAGTATCATGCCACACAACAAATCCATCCTGTTTTAATCTAAAGGTTACTTACATAAGACTGTCAGTATATTCTGACAAGGTTTTAAGAAAGTGCCTGTACTTCAAAGCCAACATCGATTAACTTAACTTGGTAAATACTCTTTAAGAAGTTTCACATAATCATGTTAAATAATTATAAACACTGATTTTTTTTATACCTTAGTAAGATATACATTTAAATAAAATCACATTCAAACCAACAGAAAATGCTTATGGAAAAAATCTGTTTTCACAGTAAAACCTCAAAAATGTTTAATTCAACTCAGATTTTAACTACGTTATCTAATAGGCAAAAAATGCAAGAATATATCACAGCCAGTAAAAAGAACATGAGGATATGTAAAAAAAGAAGTATTTCAGCTGTATCTAAAATGCATTCTCCAGCTTCACAGGCTAGGAAGAAAATCCTAAGTCTATCACAACAATATTCTAGGCCTTCTCTGAAAACTCTAAAATCTGGGTATAAGGAATATAAATTGATGTAAAACTGGCACTACAGAAACAAAATTATAATAAAATAAACATTACTACAGTGATGCCTCTGTTCCACAGTTCCATTTTCCATGGTTTTAATTACCCATGTCAACCATAGTCCAAAAATATTACATGGAAAATTCCAGAATAAACAGTTTATAAATTTTACCTTCTGCACTGTTCTGAGTAGTGTAATGAAATCACATGCATCCCAGTCCGCTCTGCCCAGGGATGTGAATCATCCCACTGTCCCGCTATGCAAGCCGTGCATACTACCTGCCCAACAGTCACTTAGGGACTCCCTCAGTTAGCTGATCCACTGTGGAGACACTGCAGTGCTTGTGTTCAAGTAACACCAGCTACAAGAGCAGGGATACTGGAAACTTGGATACCAAAGAGAATCCATGGATTTTTTTCATGTAAGTACCAGAAGATATTTTGAGAAAAAAAAAGAAAAAAAGACACTATTCACATAACTTTTATTACAGTATATTATTATAACTATTCTATAGTTACTGTTAATCCCTTATTGTGCTTAATTCATAAATTCAAAATTTGCATAGGTATAGATAAAAAAATAGTATATAGAGGGCTTGGTACCATCCATGGTTTTAGGCACCAATGGAATGGTGTCTCTTATGAATAAGGGGGAACAGTATAGGTAATCAAAATTTTGAAAAAGTCTTAAAATTCACCACAGGAGCCAGGGTTGGTGGCACACGCCTATAATCCCAAGATTATAACATAATTTTCACTGTTTTTTTCTCACTATAATCAAGAGGATGGCCTCAAGTTCAAGGCCAGACTGAATTACATAAGGGGGCTCTGTCTCAAAAAAAAACAATCAAAAATTCACTGAGAAAATTCTTCTATGTAAGTGAATTTAAATGTGAGATTAACAAATATACAATACAAAACACAGTCTCTATTTAAAATGTCTTTGTGTTGTATTACATAACCCTATTTTTTCTCATAAAGAAGTACATAAAGATAAGCCCATAAAACATGTGCATTCTATATGGTCTATTAAAATATATTTAATTTTCAGCTGAGTGTGGTGATCCATGCCTCTAATCTCAGCACTCAAAAGGCGGAGGCAAAAGCATCACGAGTCAAAAGCCAGTTGTGGGCTTTGTACTGAGTTCGAGGCCAGACTGGACAATACAATGAGATCTTGTCTCCAAAAATTAAAAAAAAAATCTAACCTTCAAATATTGATACCATATAGCAAAGGTTTTTACTAAGAAAACTTACCCAGATACTCTATGAGCAAACTCAATAATATCATCTTTAGTTCGTGGTCCTCTGTAATTATATGCCAAGTCACCCTTTAATCTTAGAAAGAAAAAAAAAGGTAAGAACTTGAATTATTTTGTGCCTTAATATTTTACGTTAATGAGTCTCTATTGTACCATAAACTTACAGTACATAAACTAGTAAATGCAGAAAAGTTTCAGAGGTAGCACACTCATGTAAAATATAGGCAATTGGCTTCACAGAATCAGCAAGTCACAATACATAGAAATAAGCTGTTTTCTATTACAATTACAGAAAAATATTTTATGTTATATTTGATAGCTGTGTTATGTCTATACTACTGAAAAGTAAATAATCTATACAACTTCAAAACAATATTATAATTACTTGACAGATGCTGCAACATCCACCATAACCAATTGGTAAAAACAACTCTTTTAAAACCCTAGACAAGTCTCCAAAAGCCTGCCAATGAGTTATGTGTCTAATTAACTAAAATTATAAAAATAAAAAATCAGGAAGCATAACTATAATTAAACAGAAAAGTAAAAAATAATTCAACACAAAAGAGGCTTAGCACACATTGTTTTTAAAGTAGAGGAAGGAGGGAGGTTAACACAAAACCCAAGAAATAATAAATTTACATTACTCAAAATTTGAAATTTGAGAATTAGAAACACTGAAAAAAATGACTTTTCTTATAAAAACTATGTTCAAAACAATTCCTCAACTCTATCACCAAAATAAGGGTAGTGAAAATTATGAGAAAATTCAATAAGGTCACAATTATTTAAAAAGTCCTTTAGAATCATCATATCAGTTCTTCCAACTTGTACACTCTGTAAGACTTGCTCAACAACTATAGATTAGAATTAACAACCAAAATTTTAACTTTTCCTATCACTAATGAAATAAATAAGTCAAATTATACAAAAGTTAAATCTGTTAGGAAACAGAATTTTACAATGACAAAGCAGAACACATACACGAGCTCCCATAAGAATAAGAGAGCTATCATAATTTATGACTGTATAACTTTGTCTGCACAGTACACGCCACAGTAAACTCTAAACACATTACTGAATTAGCCATTAACAACACAACTCTTTAAATATGGAGAAAAGCACAAAGGTATAGTCCTCTCCTTGGATCACCTGAAAAAAAATGGCTGAACTCAAATCTTTGACCCTCCAAAAACATTACTAGAAATAAATGTAAAATGTAACCAGGATGAACTATAAAAATACACATATAAACATACAACTCTCAACTTACAGCTTAATTGTTGGATAACCTCGAACTCCAAACTCTGAAGCAATGCCTTGATAAGAAAAAGAATAAATAATTCTAAATTTTTTTAAAAAGGAGAAACTAGGTAACAAATGAGCCTTTTATTTTAAAAAAAGACATATTTATACAAACTGATGTAGATATGTTGTTTTGAAATGTTAAAAAAGAAAATAAACTCACACAGAAAAAGACAAAAACATGACATTTTCATACAAAATAATTACTTAATAATACAACCAATAGGCTGCAAAAATACTATGACAAAATAAAAAATAAATGTCAAAAGAATAGTTAAAAATTTATTCCTTGAGTATTAATTTTAAAAGATATTTTGGTGGGAAAAAATACCAGTACATAAAGTACTTTTCATTTCACTTCATTTCCAGGACAATTTCTTCCCCAAATCTCACCCATCCCTGCAAAAAGAAAGGCCCATCTTTTTCTTTACTGTTTCCTGAGCATTCAGAAAACTGTATTGTGTTTTAATTTTAAAAACATAAATTGCATTTGCAAAATTGTTTAAATACTACAGTCAATGTATGTTCAAAAAGTACTTTTATGTACACTTCATAAATTTCTGCACTTTTGTAATAACCTAAAATAACTGCAATTATCTCAGATATTATTCTGAAAGCTTCACATACATTAAAATGAGAAATATTTGCTACAATGGTAGCAAAGAAGTGATGAAAGAAGAAATAGAAGTAAAAGCAAATGTCAATAGGAAAATAAAATAATTGATCAAATTAATACTATATTATTTTTCAGACTCAAGGAAACCAGGACAAGGAAAGAAAAATTACTTTCAATTAATGGATACGATACAATACAAAACATTTACAAAAGTATACTAGTGCAAAATATGCTACATTTTACTCACATAATTTCTCCCTCTCCAATTTTCTTCATTTCCAGGATATTTATATATAGCAGTTTGAGACAAAGAAACTACTCCTAGTCCTGGGTTGTTAACAATTACCTCAGGAACTTCATTAATTTTTAGCTTCTCATCACTGCTTCCCAATTCACAATGACAATGTAAATCAGTGAAAAATAATCTCCAGAATCTCTCCTTCCTTTCTCAACTTTCTACTTCAGACATATGGAGAGGGGTGACTAAAAGGGTCTGCACAGTGACCAACACTTATTTTTTTTAGAGGCACCACTGACAGTAGGAATAACAAAAATTCAAGTTCCAAAGATTCAGGTCCTACCTCTAAATGTGCATGTGAATCTATAGCAATTATACAATTTACTTGTGCCCAACTGTGACTTAAAACTTAATTCTGTAATGTATTTTCTAACTGACTATGACCATGGTTATCAAGATTGCATTCTTCAAAGCAAAAATGCAGAAATGACTTTGGGGAGATTATGTGAGTAAAGCCAGTCTTTATGGCCCCCATTCCAAATTACACAGGCAAGTAAATACAAGTCCTTATTATCTTCAGTGAAAACCCATTAAAAACTGCTCATAAAGAAAAATACAACTGATAGGGAAGGGACTTATACTCTACTAGTAATACCTCCATATAATTTAAATTATTTTATAATTCATGTAAAAATGTAATGAAATAAAAAAAAAATCAATGGAAAATATAGTGGTGGCATTTCATTGTGTGATGAGGTGGACCTCATAATAGGCTTCACAGTGAAAATCTTGCCTGCCCCCTTGTCATTCCTTGATCTCAGTTATCATATCTAGAAGATGGTGATATCACCCAGCCAGACTCCCTGGCCTCTTAACCATTAACCAACATTTGTTACAAAATTTTAATTGACAACCAGGCCTAAAAACTTCACCATCCTTATCTTTCCCTAAAGTGGAATGATGGCATCATAAAAAGTACAGACAGGCTGGGTTACAGATATAAGAGCATAAAGACCCACATCAGGGTTCTAATTTCTCCCTTTACTATTTGTGCAAAATTAGATGAGTTTTTTCATATTTCTGATTCTGTTTTCCCTTCTGGGGACACCTCTCACACTGTAAGTCTACGGGTGAGATTTTTAAGTGAGAAAATATGTAGTAAAGAACCTAACTGAGTCTAGTATAAACAAGATCCTTAAATGCTAGATATACATAACTAGTTCTTTTCTACTCTTGATCCAGATCTCACTGTTAAGTAATTATGTGCTGATATATCAATGTACAGATATGGTAAATACTGTACTACAATACAAATATAATGTGTGCAACAATATTTTACAAATGGCTAATATTCCTCAACTGTATCTCAAACAACTTTTTGTGGAGGAAAAAACAGTGCAAATTCACATAAAATAAAATTCACATTAAAAATAAAACTTAGGAATACCTGACAAGTTGTTTGAGAGGAAACAGAAATTTGGTAGCAAGGCTGAAACTGAAACTCAGTCTAACTGACTTTAAGGCAGATCAATTCCTTCACAAGTGGAAAGATCTGTTTACAACATGAGTAACTTCAAATTTTATAATCTTAAATGCTTGTGAAGTGAGGTTAAACATGAAGCTCTCTCCTTCATTTGTTTTCCACTTCAAACAACTTGATTGTAGAAATAGGTGAAGCGATGAATTATGGTGATCTTGGATTCTAGGACTAATTCTGTCTCTAACTTCTGTTTGTGAAATTAATCATCTCACATTTATTTACTTTCTGTTGCTTGATCTATAAGCTGAAAAGGGAAAAAGACCCAATCTCTGAAGCCCTTAAATCTGTAAAGTACTGGTATTTGCTATCACTCTCTGACCAACATGAAAAGAGTATAAAATAAAGTAGTTGGTTCTCAGTTAAATGGAGGGAGACATTTTTGGTTGACACAATGTGTGTATGGGTGGGTGACGAATGAGTACCTAGAAAGTAGGAGCTAGAGACGTTGCTAAAAGCTTTCAATGCACAGAAAACTACCTCTCACAGTCCCTCAAAAAGACCTCAGAACTATCTGGTTCAAAATGTCAATAATACAAGGTTGAGAAATCCCAAAGTAGAGTCACCAATCAGAAATAGCTTACAATTTAGAAAGTAAAACTAATGTATAAATATAATCCATAAACAAGAAGTCAAAACAAGAATATTATTGGACAAATGCTACTGTAAGCTTATGCATAAATATGTGTACCACAAAACAATATCACACTTAGGTTGAGGAGTAAATGAAATTCCAGTGGTTCCACAAGAGAAATCAGCATACCATTATATCATAATTTAACTTCTGAATGAGAAACATTTTAAGTACTCATTTGTGAAGGGAAAGAGAGGCTAAAATATAATTTGAATTTATTGTGGTCTTTACACACCTTTTTAGTGTTATTCAATTACTGTACTATTAGTTAAAACTGCATCAAAAATTTTGGTCCAATTCCAAACACACAGAGAACATATCTCAATAGTTCAAATTTATCTAGTTCAAAATTTCTATACAGAGAGATGTGGTGGATTTAATCTGATATTTGCTTTCAACTACTACAACTACATGATTGACAGATAGGCTACATTAAAGAATCTTAAGAGACTTTCTTCACACTTGATCATTTTGAATAATCCTTTCCATTCCAAATTAAATCTTATAAAACTATCTATCCATCATAGTAATATTCTACCTTGTGGTTCTCCACTTAAGTGTGTAGAAAAGTCATCTGTCATGAATGTTAAAAAGTTTTATGACCCAATCTGAAAGATTTTCATTTAGCAGTGCTAATGTAAGCTTTTAGACTTTGAACAGACAGCATTCAAATAATCCTAACAGAAGTGGTCAGACTACAGACTACAGAACAAGCAGAAGCAACCTACAGGGAGGGAAGAGATATCTATGAAACAGCTAAATCTTTAGCATTCTGTGGTTAAAATATAGAACATTGAGACGGCTTGGGGAAAAAAATTCAATTTCTTTACCTATTCAACTATAAATTCTAATAAAATGGCTATATTTGAGTGCTCTGAAATATTTAATGAAAACTGAGAATTCTAAGCCAACAATCTATTTGTAATCTCTAGACAGTGATTTCTGACCCTTATCAACTTTTTTAAAAGTAGGAAGACAATATTCTTTTCTCCATAGTACAGAGGATAATGCATCTATCAGTAACATGAAACAGTAAAATATTTACATATGTTTATTGGCTACTGTTTGTCTCTCCCATAACAATGAAAGTTCCAAGAGAATGGGAATTCCTATTTTACTCACTGATATGTTATTAACGCCTGGTGTAGCTTCATCTAAGGTAAGCAATTGTTAAATAAATATCTACTACATGAATGGATGCTGACTCTACAACTGTTCTATAAAGAAATGAGTGTTTCAATAAACCATATTTGGATCATTCAAACAGCCATGAGGATTCACAAGAATCTATCACTATGCAGGCAGAGTGCAAGTTGGCAAGGATGAGGGTGTGGAGACGTAGCAGTCCATATTCAAGGAGGACATCATGTAAAGTGCAAAAAACTTTATCGTAATACCTGGCAGATGATGGTCTTTGGTGTACAGTATGTCAGTTTCACTTTCCCAAAGTTATGGGGCCCGTGTGCGCTCATATATGTATGTCTCCTACATAGCAGCTGCCATAAAAAATTTTTTCGGGGCCGGGGATTTAGCTCAGTGGTTTCGCCGCCTGCTGCGTAAGTGCAAGGACCTGAGTTCAATCCTCCGTAACAAAAAAAAAAAATTTTTTTCTATTGATTCAATGTAACAATACAGTGCTAAGTGAATGGGAAATAAAATCTGTAAGAGTCAAGCCATTACAGACAAAAGTTAAACCATTGAAAGGTTTATAATAAACGAAATAAAGTCAGCGTGAAGTAAAACATTACTAAAAATTAAAAGTAAAAAAATGAGAATATTGTTTTTTAGTCATGGACTCGAAAACACGGGTCTAACCTACTTGGAAAAACTACTATTTTTTTTTTTTTTTTTTTTTTTTTTTATCTGTGCTGAGGATGGAACCCAGGGTCTCACCAATGCTATGCAAACCCTCTACTACTCAGCTATATCACCAGTGCTTATATTGAGTGTTTTTCTCCTGATCACCGTGACACTTAAATATTAGTACATGGGGAAACTCAATACTAAATAGTAAATAATAAATTTTGACTTAATGTACATTGTAAATTATCACAGAAGCATAAAATGAACAGTTTACCATTAAGATTTTTACTAATTTATATGCATTATTTTTCTCAATGACTGCTTTTCTTCATACTGTTTTTCCTCTATAAGTAACTACTCCACTGAGAGAGTCAAGTGATTACAGAAAATTTGCCATTTTTAAGACAATGTTGTACTCAACAGTTTGTCCACTTTTCTCTTCCTATTAGGCAGTAAGCATTTGCTAACAAGCAGGATTTGTTTAGGTCTTCCTTTAATCCCTAGAGAGCAGCATGGAGTGTCACAAGCAGTAGTTAGTAAATGAATGAATACTGACTGAGTGAATAAATGAATGACTGCATCCATAAGTAAATATATATATATATATATATATTCATTATGCATATCTAATCATATGTTTAGACACAGAACTTATTTTCACAAGCAACCACAGAAAGCAGTAGCTTCTTTGACATCATTAAAGGCATAGTTCTAGAAACGTCAACTTAAGCATGTTATTCTCTCTCTAATACTGTTCTGCCATTCATCTTTTCTCCTTTCAACATTTCAAAAATTAATTTGTCACTCAGCAATAACAGCTCTAACAACCATCCTGCATTCTACTTCCCTAATTCCCAAACATAAATGAACCAAAAGACCAGCAAGTCGAACAAGCTGATAATTTGAAAATACACACTAAACTTCTATGCAACAGTGGTAGTACAGCTCAATAATTACTCTAAAAACTTTATGGCAGCAGTGATGAACCTATGGCAGGTATGCCACACTGGGGTGTTTGTATCACTGAAAGATCTAAAAGGTTTGCCATCATTGCCTTATGGTATTATGTTTCGTTGTCCTTCTTTATACCATAGTCCCAACCTATCTCATCTATGATTTCAGCCCTGAAAAATGACAGTACTTTTCCACTTCCCTCTACTGCTTACATGCAAGCCTGAGCTCTAGCTCCCTACACCAGGACACATACAAAAGTGTCCTGTCTCTACCTGATTGTCTCTTTATCCTACAAGTTAATACCCAAAACATATTTTATTAAATCATTTGCTTTGTCAAAGTATGTAATACTTCTGATAAAATGTAGAATACTACCTAAAAATGCAAAATACTTTGCTTTACTTAGGAAGCTCTTAACAATCTGGATTCTGCCAGTAGCAACACACATGTGCTAGGCGGAGACTTCGGAATCTAAAATATTAATATAATCCTCACAACCTTGAAGATTATCACTTTCACTTACAGACATGGAAACTAAAATTAACAGAAGTTAAGTAGTATCCTAAATCCAAAAAAGTAGGACATGAGAGAGTTGAAATTAAATAGGTATCTTGCTGCAAAAGTACAATCCAGAATATAAAGCTGACTTCCTAAGAAGAAATATACATTATATACCTCTTTATTAATTTAAAAAAAAGGGAACCTGCTATATCATTCAAATTTCTAAATTACCAATCAAAGAAGCATTACAATTAGATATTTAACAATATGGAAACCAAAGCTTGGGGTACTTCAGAAGGCTTTCTAGTGCTAGACAGTAAAAGCAGCAGGCAAAGCCATAGCTACAGTTTGAAGCCATGCTCTTTCCAAATTTCTGATACTTTATTCTTCTTTAAACTTAATTCTTCTCTTTCAAAATGCTCTAAAATAGTTGGTAAACTTTTTCAATAATACATTAGGCTTTGGAGGACATGAAATTTCAATCACAATTACTCAATTTTGACAATGGAACAGGAAAATGAGTGAAAATGAGTGTTGCTGTTTTCCAGTAAGTTCACTGACAAAAATTGGCAGCAGGACAAATTTGGCCTATGGGCCACAGTTTGTCCATCTCTACTTCATTCCATTCTCTGTACACATTCTTTAAGTTCATTTTCAACTCTACGAATTTTGCTCTAATATTCTCTTCAACCTTCCTCATCCTCACTTATATTCATCCTAACTAAACTCATTTTAAAAGTTCCTATTTATCATATCATCTCATGGTTCTCAAACAGACAACAAATTTTCATTAGTTTAACTCACATACAAATACCAATTATCAACAGCTTAACATTCAACTTTCTGTAAGTACCTCAGGTAAATTGATTATCTAAGGTGGGTTCAAGTAGGAACAAATGGTGGCTTATATGTCATAGCAGGTGCCTAAAATTAACACATGCTCTATATTTACTACTCAATTGCTAATTCATTTAACTTGTAAAGTATACAGTCTTAAATTACTAAGATAGTTTTACATGGCCAAAAAAATTTCCTCCTTTCATGAATACTGTTGCATACAATTCAAATATTTTCATTAAGAGAAGAGTAAATAATAAAGTAAAGGCTTACTGGCATAGGAGGTAGCATCCATCTTTCCAACTTTCACTGGAGAGCCAATGTTCTTCATCTCAAGACCAACTTCATTCCAGATTGGTTCCAGTTTTTTACAATGGCCACACCATGGTGCATAAAACTATCCAAAAGGAAAAAGAAAAAAAAACAAAAACTAAAGCTTTAATGCTATTGTGAACATTAATCTTAATATTTAAAAACTCTCTCTGACTAAATAACCTGCTAATAATGTTTCAGACAAAAACTTAAAGTTTTCAAGTGGTTCCATAACCCAAGATAATACACACATACATCTATATAGGTTAACACAGCATATGCCTCAACTCTTAACACTATTTTAAATGATTATTAATAGACACTTAAAAGATATTCAATTTACAATGAAAATGCTTCTGCTTCCAAGTGAATGTATTCATATTCTATATAAAAGGTACTCACAAAGACACATACCATACTATATGCAGCCCACTAGGTGTTAATGATAAATACCAATCTACTTCTATTGCTATAACAAACTGTTTACTATATTCTCATGAAATAAAACTTATTTTCAACTTTATGTTACGGAAATGTTCAAACATATACAAAAGGAGGAAGAATTAAATAATGAGTTCTTATGTCCCATTGCCTAAATTTACTAATCATCAATTCTGCCATTCTTGTATCATTTCTTTCGCTGCTACCCCACTTGTCAATGAGGTATATTATAGTAAACTCCAAATATTATGAAGTTTAAATACATTCCAAACCTGAAAGTGAGGAAAGAATGATGAAAATTTAATTGTTTATTATTATGATGAAAGTATGATAGTGACTACTAATAATACTAATATACTCAACCTCTTGGGAATATTTAAAACAAGAGAGAATTCTACAATAAACTCATGCCATAATATCCCTAAGAATTAATTCACAGATTTATCACATTATAAGGGTTACAATTTCCCCTTCTTAATGTCCTCACCACCAAATTTCATCAAAAATTTCTTGCTAGACATCTTAAAGCTGATTTACTTTAATATAAAAACTCAAACAGTAATGCCTGACAAAACAGAGAAGATACATAACCACTAACTATACATTGCCCACTTTGTGTGGATGAGAATAGAAAATAGTTATAATGGTAGAAATGGGTATTTAACATATAAAACTTACATACTCACATCTACAAGCCAAATGTCATCTTTTCGATTGTCTTTAAACCTAAAAAAAGAAAGTCAAATCTCTGATTTTATGTTTTGTATTCACTTTCAAAATGTGTAGTATAGGTACAGATAATAAACCAATTAAAAAAATAGGACTATGGAAGAAATTCTTTCAATAAATTTTTACTCAGTGACTCTAAATTTTATCCAACCCATTGAAGTTCTTAAGAATAACTCAACTCCCAAATTTAGGAACAAGTATGGTATGCTGTTGGTAATGTTCCTCAGCATAGGGGTCTTTCTGGTGCACATTCACTTAATCAAGTAATTATTAGGAAGAGAACTGCTTCCTCCCTCTCATAAGTTAGGGCAATCTGAAACAGGAGACCTGAAGTAACACACCTCATAGGGCACCACTAAATTCAAAAAGTTATGTGTTAAGAGTGGCTTGCCTCAGAATCAGAAAGTTTCTGTCAATAATCTGCAAGCACTCTCCAAGACCCACCATCATGACTGGGCCACTTTAAGAACAGCACTGTATTAACCCAATCACCCTACTCAATAGACTGTGTCATGCAATCAGATGTCATGTGGTCAATTAGGTCAAGCTAAACTTAAAGTAACAATCAAGTCCTTATTCACTTACTGTGACACTGCAAACCAAGACACAAAAGAGGTGCCAACTCTTCAGTGGTCCATTTCCCCCCATGAAAAAGCACCAGCCAGGTCAAGTGGATGTAACACAGATGGAAAATTCATCTGCCTGCTGAACAGTATTGTTGCTTTGAGTGGGAAAGGCCCACAGGTAAGACCTTCAATAAGGTTTTTGCAAAGGTGTCTGGGAGATGCCTCAGGTGAGTCCCCCAATCAGGAGCCTTTATTTAAACAGAGGCAACTGAGCTAGGAATACAGATATACATATGAACATGGCTGGCCTGGGAGGCCTGAGTCCTTGACTACAAGTCCCTCCAGAGACTGCAATGCACTTGTTGTGCACCAAATATGGCTATGGCGTGGAAGGGGCACCTTCTCTCATGTACCCGGCCAGAAAAAGCACCATTACTGCCCAGAATATGACACACAGGATTCTGGTCTGGAGGTAGACTCCTCACCTATTCTACAGAAGGCCTTGCGACTGCGTGACACAATGAATATAAATACTGAATTCCAGTATCTACTCTGTGTGGTTAAAGCAAAAAAAAAACAACATATACAAAATGATAAAGAATGGAAAAGTGTGCCAGTTTTTTCATCTTGTAACAACTAGTAAAATTCTTCGGGGCACACTCTCATTTTATATCTATTACCTAGAACAGTGGCAGTGAACAAATGGCACGTGTATTATTGTATTTTTTCTTAAGACAAAAGATGATAATGGATAAGTTATTTCTTTCTAAACTAAAACTTGAGTATTCAGGTTTAACAGCAGTGTTGGCACTTTGTGATAAATAGTGGGTTTGGGGTTGCAGTTTGGCACCTGGTCTCTAAAACGTTCCTCATCATGACCTAGAACAACCCCTAAAACATTAGGCTTTTTTTTTTTGGTACTGGGGATCGAACTTGGGAACTTGTGCTTGCAAGGCAGGTGGCAGAAATACCAGAGTTAAATCCCCGGCTCTCTACCCCTAAAACAAATTTAGCATTCATTATACACACACTGGTCATTATAGTCTGTATCACTGAAAGATTAGATTCACATGCAAATATTTTGATAATATCAGAAACGGACAAAATTAAAATATTGCAAATATATGAATACTCACGATTCATCTAAATCTTCTACAAATCCTTTACAGAAAGCCATATCAAGTAAAAGAACTGGGGGAAAAAAAAGAGAAAAAGAAAATTATAGAAAATAAATGGTAATTTACTACTTGACTCTTATTGTATGCTTAGTTACCTAAAAAATACTTTTCTTTTTCTTTACACTTTTCCAAAAACTCATTACCAATCTATTCCTGGTTATGAGTGATGCAAAAACATAAGCACTTCATTTAATAAATATTTCCTCAGCGAGTAATCATACCGTTTACCTAATAAACAGCTCCTTTTTCTACATATCTTCACACAAGCTTCCTTTTCACTATTGTTTGGAAGTAGAGATAAATCAGATAAATCCTTTCTCTAGTTTTTTCTGTAGCAGCTATTATCTTTTCAGTAAAAACTTGAAAGGTCATTCACGATAGTATCCTTTTTTCTCCCAAAAGACAAAAAAAACCAAAAAAACAAAAAAAAAAAAAACCCAAAAGCCCAAAAACAAAGTTGAGCTACACCCCTGGCACTCATTACAGGACAGTACCTGACACACAGTGAGGTCTCAATGGTGGCTGACTGAGGAGACCATAAAGAGCACCAGGGCATCGCAGGGTGACAGGAGGAGCTGAGAAACGCTAACACATTCATTTTTGGGTCGGATCCTTGAACATCCCTCTCTTAGCCCCGGTGGTAAAAATCCTTCAAACGTGACAGGACTCAGAGCCCAAGGCAAGCCCTGCCTCTCCAAGTCTGGCACTAGGGTTTTCCAGCCCCCCCCCCCCCCCCGAGGGAAGCATCCAAAGGCGTCCGCTCACTCAGAGGTCTGGGGTGGGCGGGACGCAGCGCGACCTCCATAACCAGAGAAAGCCGCGCAGGACAGCCAGCGATCCCACCAGGCTCCCACTCTGCTCCGAGCGCGCAGGGAAGCCTCTGCGCACTTATTACCTGTGGTGCAGAGCCCGACGGCCCGGCTCCACCGACCTGCCACGCTCGCCATGGTGAGCTGCATCAGCAGAAAGGTCAACTGCAGAGAAACAAGGGCACCCCTAGCCCGCCGGGAAAGGGAAGTCGGCACGGGCGGGACGGTGGGAACGTTCCGCGCTGAGGCCGTGGGCGGGCAAGCCAGACTCCGTTCTCCCAAGGCTCTGGCAGCCTCTATCTCTGAGCATGCGCGTTGAGCGACGCATGCGCGAATTTCAGCTCATGCGCAGTGTCATCTTCTCGAAAAGCGTCTAGACTACCTCCGGGAACACGGAAAGTCGGGGTAGGGTGTGTTTCCTGTGAGGGCGGAGCAGTGTGCTTATTCTCCTTTATGGGGAGCTAAATACCAGAACACTTGTTAAACTTACTGCTCTGGGCGAGGTAAGCTACGACAAATCAATTCGAAGTTGAATCTTCTTAGAGCTTTTACTTTCTCCTCTTACGCAGTGAGCGCTCCTGCGCGTGTTGGTGGTGGGTCAAACTCCTGGATTATTGTGCGTTAGCAGTGAATGGAAAGTGTAAGGCTGTGGATTGCTGAGCTGTGCCACTTTCCTGTATTTCCAAGATGTATGTGGAGTCTTCTTTGAACCTGTTTGCAAAATGGAGACTTACTGCCAGTTATCGTTAATGCATTTTTGACAATAAAGGAGTCCCTCTGTAAAAATTGTTTCTCTTGAATCCTGAAAAATTGAAGTTGCGCATAAAGGCTTTATTTTTATTTCTTCTGTTCCCCTATTAGGGGAATAAAGAAAAAAGAAAATACAACCCAGAACGCGCCCGATCTCGTCTGTTTTCATTTTTTGAGAGAACATGTGGCAGTACTCCTTCAGTCTCCGGAGTACTGAGAGGTGTGCGCCCAGGTTACATGAAATTTTTATAAAACATAAGGTACCAAAGGGTTTAGATTAAACCAGTTTTTGAAAACATATGTTAGGAGGACAAAACAGGGATTTTATCACCTGATTTACTGTAGGTTCAACATTCCAAGAAAAATCTCATTAAACTTTTAAATGCTGTTCCTAGTGACTAGAAGATTATAAATTACAGTCAAATTGAGAGCAAGCCCTAACTTTCACCCTTTTTGTGCAAACAGCATGGTAGGCAAGGCAGGTCCTCTGGAGACTTCAATATTTTTAAAATAAAAAGTAGTCTACAAAATAGGGATGGGAATTTGTCAATAGTGGTACAACAGCTTTCTATTTTATATGGTAGACTTAATATTGCTGAAGGGCCCTATTTCATTCTTCATTCTCATCAGAGTTTTCTGTCTCCCCCAACCTATTACGAGAAAATAATTTCTATTGCACTTTGTTTTACAGCTTAAATTAGCAAGTACAGAGCAACAAAAACTGCTCCTCTGAGACCTGTACTTTCCAGTACTATAGCCATTAGCCAAATGTGACTATTGCAAGCTTAAGATGTGGCTAGTATGACAAATACTTGAATATTTAATTTTACTAAATTTTAATAAAGGTAAACTAACACAAGAAGTATGGTTGGAACAACTGTAGTATATGAATCTACTGTTGCAACTGTAAAATTTTGAAATCTAAACAGATTTTTAATGAAGTTTTAGAATCTAATGAAATGTAAAGCTGAAATTAAAAGGTATTATAAAAATGTAATGTCAGTATTGATGGAATATTGAATAATTTTGGAATATTGAGTTAATAAAAGATATTAAACTTTTCTCACCTGGTTTTCATTTTTCAATGTAGATACTAAAGAATTTAAAACTACACATATGGGTAGCATATTTTTATTGCACATCACTGACCTAGATAATCTGAAGATAATAAAAATAATGCATTGATGTGATGATAATCAAAACGAATTTTGAAGATCTTTGTACAGAAAACAGACTGCATCTCTACATACTACAGTTTGTGTTAGGCAAGTGTATACTACAATATTGTGGTAATTAAGGTTCATTGTGTGAACTTGATTGGCTTACAAGCCACTGAAGGATTAATAAAGCACTCTTCTGGGTGTGTCTGGATAGGTTATGAAGGCCTAACCTTTGGGTCCATATCTGGTCCTTTACCCCTTCCTCTCTGGTGCTGTTCCCCTGCTCTGTTTCCTGGCTGCCGTGAACTAAGCAGCTTTGCCCTCCCTTTCCATCATGATGTCTCTGCCTTAGAGCTGGCCAGCCATTGATTACATCCTCTGAAAATGTGAATAAAATTAAATCTCTCCTCCTTTGACTTGTGAGCGTCAGGTATTGTGTATCAAGAACAGGAAAACTAACACAGAAAATTGGTACAAGGAGTGGGGAAGTTTCTATGACTACTTGGGTGATTCAGAAGCCACTTGAACTGGTTAATGGGAACAGTTTGGAAAAGCTTTCAGATGCAAGCAAAAAAAACTATAGAACGCTGTAAGTAGCAATTAATGGATGATTCTTAGGGAACCAGAAGGCTGATAGGAATGTATATGGCAAAGGCCATACTCCAAAGGTTTCAGTTAGTAACAAGGACTCCATTGGCAATTTGACTAGAGCCCATGTATGTTATGATGTTAGAAAATTTGTCTACATTTTTCTAGTGGCCTAGAACTTTGCAAAAGACTAAGAGGGGGCATGGACTGATTCTTCAAGTGGAGAAAATTTCAAGGTAACCTAATATTTATAATGAGAGTCATGGACAAAACTCAGAGCAGAACAATTAGAAAAAGTTAAAATTGCCCACAAAGGAACCATCAAATGAAACTGGGGCCAAATTAGGTGTGGTTGCTAAAGAAATTACTACCATCAAAAAGAAACCAAGCAGACCAGGGATTTAGCTCAGTGATGCCACCACTTGCCTTGCAAGCTCAAGGTCCCAAGTTTGATCCCTGGTACCAAAAAAGAGAGAAAGAAACCAAGCACTTTGTAACAGAGGCAAGAAGCAAGATGTCTTGATGGTGTTTCAGGAATCAATGAGATGCCCACAAATTGCAGGTTTTGAAGGATGCAAAGTATAATCCTTTCGGGTTGGGATTTAGCTCAGTGGCACTGTGCCTGCCTCACAAGTGCAAGGTCATGAGTTCAATCCCCAGTACCAGAAAAAATTAAAAAAGTAGTGTAATCTTTTCATTTGAGAATTGAATCACTTGGACCCTTCTTGAGAAAGGTCTCCTAGGGAAGTGGCTCCGTAGAATTCATTTCACTATGTTCACCCATCCAGGCATGCAAGGGACACTGCAACCATGGTTCAATGGGGCCTGGCTACTGCATTCCTTCACAGCAGACCTTATCATCATCTATGTGATGCTGGTTTTACTAGCATGCAAACAAAATGCAAGAGTTGTGGGGTTAAGGAGGCACCCACCTAGATTTCAGAGGAATCCTGAGATGCCAGGCAAGGCGCCCCTCAGAGTGCAGTGACTAAAGTGAGAAGCCAAAGGTACACTGGAGACACTAGGAAGTTGGAGATGCTATGAACATGGAAAGCTTGTGGAGGAAAATTTAAGGCCATGAGTGGAACCTGCCCAAGAGAGAAACTGTGGGCTGCAATCACCAAGGACAGGGTGAGGCCACCCAAGCCCTCTGCAACTCACATCTCACTACTATGTGCTCTGGATTTTAGATAAGGAGCTACAAGACTTAATGTCTCTTCTGCTGGGTTTCAGTCTTGCTTAAAACTGATTATTTTCTTGGCCCTTGTTTGTCCCTTTTGGAATGAGAATGTTTACCTTGCACCATTGTATCTTGTGGTTATGTAACTTGATTTTCATTTTTACAGAACTTCACAGCTAAGAATTTCCCTTGAGTCTCAGAAGGGACACTGGGGGCCAGGGATTTAGCTCAGTGGTTCCACCGCCTGCCTTGCAAGCTCAAGGACCCGAGTTCGATCCCCAGTACCAAAAAAAAAAAAGAAGGGACACTGACTCTGATTTTTAAATATATTGAAACTGCTCAGTTTGGGAAATAGGATTATTATACTTTTAGTTGTACTCAGGATAGTGGTAACATGTTAGGGACAATTATTAATTCATTATTGTGAATTTTGAGGATTTAAGCATGACAAGTAGATATGTTTGGCTGTCAAGTTGACATGGGGTGAAATATGGTTAAACTTGATTTTGTGAAATTGGTTTAAGAGCCACGAAGAGGATTAGTGAAGCACATGTGGGTGTGTCTGGGTGGACCTTAGAGGCGTAACCTTGAGTACTATATCTGGTTGTTTCCCACTGTCTCTCTGACACTGTTCCCCTGCAGTTTCCTGGCTGCCATTTACTAAGCAGTTTTGCTCTGACATGCCCGTCTGCCCTGTTTCTGCTTTGGAGCCAGTCAACTCTGGACTCAATCCCCTGAAAACATAGCCAAATTAAATCTCTCCTTCCTTAAGTTGTGACTGTTGGGCATTGTGTCTTAGTAACAGGAAAGCTGACTAATATAAATATAGAAAGGTATTTTTAACCAGTGCAAATTTTGAGTGTATCTTGTATCTGTCTCATGGGGCGACAGATTTCCTTAATATTTAAAAGATTCTATTTCATAACTATGACGAGGTTTTTTTTTAACTTTCAGTTTAAATACAGATACATGCTTTGTATATTTTTCATACATATAGCTAAGGTCTAAATATATGCTCCAAAAATTCCTGTACTGGCCCAGGGATTTAGCCCAGTGGTGCCACCGCCTGCCTTGCAAGCTCAAGGTCCTGAGTTTGATCCCTGGCATCCCCCCAAAAAAGATCCTGTATTGAAACTTAATCACTCATGTGATAATATTAAGAGATTGACCTTTGGGTAATTAAGTTATGATATTGAAGTCCTCAGCAATAGCTTTAGTGTCCTTATAAAAAAAAGGCTTAAAGCAACACCTTATTCCCTCTTCCATTCTGCTTTCTATCATGCCACAGTTCAGCCAGAAAGTGACATCTTGAAAGAACAGAGCAAGAAAACAAGATACTGAATCTGCTGATGTCTTGACATGGAATTTTCCTACTTCCAGAACTGTGAAAAATAAATTTCTATCATTTACAAATTACTCAGTGTATAGTATTTTTTATAGCATCAGAAAGAGACTAAATCACACATCTTTAAAAAAAAAGGCATATATAAGGATGTCTGTAGAACTGTTTGTAACTGAAAAACCGAAGAATTCAATTTTCTAATAGTAGAATGGATAAATTATGTTGTTTTTCCACAGTAGAATGCATTATGGCAACAAAAGGGATGAACTTTTGTATAGAGAACTTACATGGATACATTTCATA